AACGCATTAACGCCATGAACATATACCACCCATCTTTCCTCTATTTCCACTACCCCATGGATAATTGAAGATCGCACAAGCAATCGTACATACAATGTACTTGGATGAACCTTTCCATATTCCATAAAATATCAAGCAAATATTCATTATCATAAATACACAACGTTTCTCGGCTACTAAGAAGCAGCCTAGGAACGTTGTGTTGGAAATAATAAAGAAGTTGTAAATCCATTCCATACGTTGTTATGTTACCTTCCAACTTCTAAATGCCCATCAAGCATCTACATGTTGATCAGTTTACAGTGCAAACATTATGAAAATTTACCCATGAATAAATATAGTGATTAGGATGTAGTTGTGTGGTATTTCACCAATAAGCACACACACACACACACACACACACGCACGCACGCACGCACACACACACACACACACACACACTGACGTAACCAGGAAAAAACGGGAGCTTATGGTACAAACAAAAAGTAAGTCTCTTCATTCGCTACTCACTGTGTTAGTGAGAAAATAATCAATTGATCCTGCTTAGGTGGATTTCATCTTGAATAGCCCCAGCCCATACAAATGCAACAAAGATAATAATAAACAAACGCATGCACAAAACCCAATGCCATAAAAAGGCTACACAGCGTGCAAGTTTAATATTGGATCTAACAACAGTTGTTTAATGTGGGAGAAATTCAGAAACATAGATATGGTCTTGAAGAAACAATAAGCATATCCGGAGCATGTTTGGGTCCATAATTACAGGATCCTGGCACGTTATACCAAGTCGAAGCCTCTGAAAATAGGAAATTTTGATAGCAATATATAACTCCGTATATACTGAATTAGCCCCAGTGAGTTCGGAGATTCAGAACTAGACTGGCTTCAATTTGGACTATTGCATTACAGAAGGGGTTGGGCCGAAAGTTTGGAGTATGAGACAGACTACTGGCATGTGTAAGGTCCCAGCGATACAGAGCGAATGTGGTTCTTACAAGGAGGGAAACGCATTTAAAAACCTTAATCCTAGTAATATTAGTATTCGTATTTCGGAAACTAAATATATAGATCTGGGCAAGCAGGAGATGTCCTTCATTTGAAACACACTCTGCTGATCACAGCTGGTGGCTTCGTTATATCTGTTGGAACAATGCAGTTGACTACAGCTGACTTGGTAATGTTCATCTAGGTGAGGTCTGTCAATATGTTAGAGCTGACGTTGTACTGTCGACGTGCATCAGCTGATGAAGATAGTGATTCACGTGAGCCAATTCCATGATGCGATAACTAATGTCAGTTCATTCACTCCCTGCTTGAAGGACAACGTAGTCATGCGACATATGGAAATCGGGAAAGGAACGACAGTTGGCCTTTTAGTATCCATCTAGACGAGGTCACTTAATACTGTCAATATGTATAGACGATTCAAGGTTTTCCGCGCAAAATATAATTCTAAAGCGTCTGTCAACGTATATACCAACTTCTGTGCGTGTACGGAATAGCTGATATTAATTAAATGCAGCTTGACAATTGGCTCTCTGAGGTACGACTTATGCAGAGACCAGAAAAGATATTGGCGACATACATTCTGTTGTCAGTAATAGCATTTGGAATGATCTACAATAGATATCATGAGACTGACTATGCATTTATTCATTAACCATTCTGGAAGGTTCACAAATATGTTAATTGGGTCCAAATTGATCTTCAGCAACCCATGTTGTAAGAGCGAACTAATGTGATCGGGTGATCGTTCTCACTTACTTGTTTTATGCTTGCCATCGTATCCCACTTGTGAAGATCGATGCTCATAGTGTCATGACCATGCTGTGTAACTGTTTTGTGTATATCATTACATATTACTAAAACCGAGGTATGCATATTTTTATGAACGTGACAGTAGAAGCAAGATGTTTATATGAATATTGTCTAGGAATTTCTTTTTGAGTTGTCCACAAAACTAGGCACTTAATGTTTTGTATTAAAAGCAGTACGGTTCTTTCGTAATAGATCTTCATCAAATATTCCTCTGTTCCTCTGTGATAAGGTTGCAAATAAGTTAAGACCAAATCGTTTCCGTGGACCTTCTTCAACATATCTGGGCATGTAAACGCCAATGTACAGGAAGGTGTAGCTGCAAGAGGTTGAACCTGTTGTGTGCTTCGGCATGTGGATGTGGACATGAAACATGTTCCCGTGATCTTGACAATGTTGACATTGACTAACATGTCAACTGGGAATACACTATGACTATTAAGAACAATAAATACGAATTGATATAAAGGTAATGTTGCTTGTGTTATGATGACATGACTGTGTGTATATTTGGTGGTAAGATACCATAACGCCTTTCTGATGAGTGTGTCATATCTTTTACAATGTATCAATGATTGCCGGTGTAACATAAAGAAAGAAAACCAAAGTCGTAATATTTCACATTGTAAACAGAAACAATGGAACACCATAATGTCAATTGTAAACCTTCCATTAGTATGTCATATTATTATCCATCAGCTTTAAGGGTTTCACGGCATGTCAGCGCAATACTGACACTTATCAAAACATATCTCCTTCTGACATCAGCTGAATTGTTGTTTCTGCTAGAATGTCAATAAACGCAAATTTGTATGATAGTTCAACAGTATCTTCGACATATTTAGTATTGTTGATACTTTGTAAAGCATGGAGCTGAAATTGTCTTATGTTTTGCTGATCTCAATACAAAGTACCAACCTTTATTTCCTTGTAATGGTTTTTCATGAATACAGTGCCAACCAAAGGTATATATGATCTTCCAATGATATAGCTGAATCAGAAACACAAGTCACATAATTTTGGAAAAATTACCTTTAATTTGTAAAGTTCAACTCACATTTTCTCATCAAATGCCCTTCTATTAAAACTGACCTTTGACCTTACCAAAATATTTTTGCGATGAACATACATTTAATATTATTGTCCACAATTTTACATCATGGTCTGAGCATTCCAAAACTACTATTTTGATGAAAATCGGTCAAACCAAACCAGAGTTATTAAATTAAACCATCCAGTTATCGGTTAAAATATTGCCATAACTGACGAGACATGTTGCACCTTAAAAGGGCCCCTACACGGTAGTCACGCACGGTAGCTGATGACAACCGGCTTTAAATCAAAGCCAAATCATTCCTGATTGTGAAAAATCACATTCCATTCGGTCGCCAGAACTGCACCACATTTTCACCATTTGGGGGTCTGGCTTCTAGACCATAAGCTGGATTTATAGTGCTAGCCCACTGATATACCATGCCGCAGTGAAGCATGAATACCCCACTCAGACACATTATACTGACTCCGAGCCGACCAGTCCTTGTACCCACTAATGCCGAGCGCCAGGCAGGGACCAACAAGCACCATATTTTAACGTTAACGGGAAGCGAACAAGTAATAACAATTGTATTGATATTTGATAATAAATGGATGGCACAGATACAGTATCTTAAGCGACATGGCGGCCTGGCTCCATCTTTTGACGCCCGTCCTCGCCATTCTTGTGGCTTTGACTCCGAGGTCCATCCATGGTACCAGCCAGCATATATAGAGGGCGTCATGGAAAATGATAATTACCAAATTCTTTGGAACAGGCTTATATACAGCCTAGCCAACAAACCTGATCTTGTCTTTTTGGATAAAACCAATGAAATTATTGATATCATTTAATTTTCTGTCCCTTCTGACTGCAATGTGATTGACAAGAATCATGAAATCATGACAAATAAGCGAATGAAATGTCATACTCGCATCCCAGGTATCAAGTTGTCCGATTCCCCAGCGTTCTCGGTGCCTGTGGTTTGGTACCTCCTGATATCTTGACGCCGACTAGGAGACTGCCCGGGTTCTCCACCGTGAGCACAACCCTTCTGACACTCTGGGTAATGCAGAAGGCTGCAGTGTTGGCGAGTGTATATATTTTGGTGGGGCAGTACAGTAGTTATTTTAAAGCGTTCACTCGTCGCGTCGAAGACCCGGGTTCGATTCTCCACATGGGTACAATGTGTGACGCCCAATTCTGGTGTCCCCCGCCGTGATATTGCTGGAATATTGCTAAAAGCTCTGACTTTCAGCGCTGTCATTGTTTAAACCGGCTGTTTGTTGTGACCCCCAACATAACTCGGACAGTTACTGACTCGCAGTTGTCGCCGACTAATGAAGGGTCTTGTTATAAGCAGGTGGCAGAGTCACAACCTATTTATAAAGAACCCCCTTTGAAAACAGCGCCGTCAACGAAGTCAGTCAATCATGCAACCCTTGCGCCCCCAGATCTTTCGGTCAAATCACCAACTCTTTTTATCAAACACTAAATGGCCTGGCGAGCCTCGTGTGCAAAATACACTTTATGTCGGAAAGCGCACGTTAAATCTCCAAATCATCATCGAGGGCAGCAGAGAGGCACATGAGGGCATTGAACACTGACCGGGACAAGACCAGCGGAGCAGTCCAGAAGAGCAGCCTGAGTGAGTGAGTGAGTTGGGTTTTACGCCGCTTTTAGCAATATTTGAGCAATATCACGCCGGGGGAAGTTCACCAGAAATGGGCTTCACACATTGTACCCATGTGGGGAATCGAACCCATGCTTTGGCGTGACGAGCGAACGCTTTAACCATTAGGCTACCCCACCAGAGCAGCCTGAGAAGGCCAGCACTGGCGATATATAACATCCGACTAGGCCAACACACCTAGACGAGCGCCGATCATATCTGGTTAACTCCTGAAACAGCCCTAGCCTCTCTGTCTCTACTACGCCCTTTTTGGTCACTGTTAGCAAGAGCTTAGTGTAGTACTACTTAAACACTTTGCTGAAAACCTAGCTAGTTTCTATTGTTGAGCTACATATATCCTGAAGTGTACAGTGCCGCAGTTTAAAGCGAAGTAAATGTAAATCCTGTAACAAATTCTGCAAGAACTAGAATGCAGTATTGTCATGATCTAAACGATCATCGTTTGTTTGCTTTCAGCGATCTTTGATCACTCCGTGCAGTTGTTGCCCGAAGGAGAAGGCTACCCGACATCCCTATGGCATTCCCTGTATACAGAACAAGACGTTTGTTCTAGTAAGTATAACACCCCCTGGCACTCTTCAAACAACACGATTAATTATAGCGTACAAAGAAGGGATGTTTTTATTCTCGCAGTACACCTATGTGAGGCAGCGCGAACAGCTTACACAGAGTAGAAGGGCAGTAGAAGGGCTGGATTGGTTGGTCAGTGTTCATCCCTCCTTGTCCCTGGCTTGCCTTTCTACTGGTCTGTCCGCGCTCTTCCCGCTGTCTACCGACTCTCCAGCTGTCCCTCTGCTTCCCCTTACCTGCCTGCTTTTAAAGGCAGATGAACGACATACAATCTGTTTAGGTCGGCAATAAGTGCACATAATCTTGGACTATTTTTATTGCAGAATATGGCTTTCAACGACGTTCTCTGACTCGCAATTATATATATGTGTATAAGTATGTATGCATGTTTGTGTGAAAGAATGAATGAACTTGTAGCCGATCCATAGTTTATAATTTTCAACTATGTTTTTGAAATGTTTGAAATCTCCGTTACAGCCTTATTGTTACCGCTGCTACGGTGCTGTACGTACTGATTATGATGGAGGCGCCTCGTCACAGTAACAACAGAAACTGGCTTTATGCGAAAAGACGTTTCGTCCACAAAGGTTCTAATATACCGGGGACGGGGCCAATGTCACCGCTTGACGCGACAACACACGAGAAGCACATGCTACAAGACAATCACATCTCTGGCCATCAGTTCAACGGGGAACAAACTGAAGACGGTAAAGAACGGTCATATGCACCACCTAGAGAAACCCATTCTCGGTATTCTAACACTACATGTTCCCCAAGACATAACATCGCTTTCTTGAAGGTGCACAAATCCGGAAGCACTACGGTGTCAAACATCCTCCAGAGGTACGCCGTTAGGAACGATCTCAACTTGGTCCTGCCCGACAAACTGGTCGGAGAAAGCGGTTTCAACATTCTTGGTTACGGGCCTTTATTCTCGGCGGATATGGTGATCCCCGTACCGGAAGGACAGACGTTCAATATTCTGTGCAACCATATGGTGTACAACAGGCCAGTTATGGACCAGTTCATGCCCGCTAACACGTTCTACGTTGCCATAGTGAGGAGTCTGGAAGAGCGGTTTATGTCTGCGATGAATTATTTTGGCCAGGTGGGTTTCATCATGGAAGAAAAGAAGGGGGTTCGTGGGTTTACACTTAAGGACGTAATGCCCCACTTCTTCATCAATCAAACAGTTCGTGGGATAAACAAGGAATCTTTAATAAACAGCATTGCGTATGACTTTGGGTTTGCCACGTACCGCGACAACGAAGAATACTTTCAGAGCTACCTTAAGAACATAGATAAGGAGTTTGACTTTGTCATGATCATGGAATATTTCGACGAGTCCCTCGTGTTGCTAAGGCGACGTCTGTGCTGGGGTCTTCGCGACATCCTCTATATCAAACGTAACACCTATGAACATAATTCTCTTCCTCTAACAGAGGAAGACAGGCATAAACTGTACGAATCACAAAAACGAGATCACAGGATATACCAACATTTCTACCGCAAATTCTGGCGTGGAATTCTAGCTGAGGGACACGACATATTTGATGAAGTTGCCAACTTTAAACTTGTGCAAAAGCAAGTTTTTGACTTTTGTAGGGGAGATAGAATACAGCGAAAGGTTTTGAACATTCCCTCATCGAAGTGGAACGATGAGTTTAGGCTGACAAGGTCGGAGTGTCGGCAGATGCAGATGTCAGAGCTGATGCTGGTTGAGAAGGTGATGGATAGGGCCAGACAGAGGCTGAGGAGGGATGGGACGGAAAAACAATGGCTGAAATATGTTGAGAACTTTTGGCAAAGAAACAAAATGCGCATACGAAACTTTGAAACCAGTGACGAAATGTTTTATCTGAGTAAAACAAATGCCATATGATACATGTTTGTTTTATATTTTTACACACGTTGTACTCTTCATTAAAATGTATATCTTTGTCTATACATATCCTCACATTGAGAACTGGACATGGTATAGTTCACGGCTTCCTGTAAATAATTAATTCGCAGCACGGCAAGCCAGTTGTTGATAGTTTGATAAACAAGCCTTTCTGTCAGATACATTTGGATTGTCAACCAGTGGTTCACGCACTTAAACCACAAAATTATCATTTTCTTGGTTCTTAAAAGTACCAAAGACCTGCCCTATTAGTGTAGATCATTAATCAGTGATCAGATAAGTGAGGAGACGAATGGGTCTCCACAATCTGATTATAAGTGGTCACTTTATTCCATAATTAAACTATATTATTGATTTAAAAAGGAGCCGCTTGTTACCATATCTCTACGGAACCATGGTTACAGAATCCATTTACATTATGGCAAGAGCAAGCTTACTTGTCATTATCACGTGATTGATGTCTTCCACCCAAAACATCCGTGTTTGGCCCCTCCGCTTGATGAGCGAGCGCTTTAACCACTGGGCTACCTATCTAAAACCTTAAAGTATGATTTGGGTTATTGTCAAAGGAAAGATTAACAGTTAGTGCTAGAAGCCATTTTAAAGCATTATTAATTACCACCTCTTTTCAGCATCACATGATTGATGTCTTCCACCAAAAACATCCGTGTTTGGCCTTCCGTTTGATGAGCGAACGCTTTAACCACTGTGGTACCCATTCGTAGCCTAAAGTATGACTTGGATTATTGTCAATGTAAAGAGTAACAATTCGTGCAAGAAGCAATTTTAAAGCATTATTAATTACCACTTTGAGACAAGCGAGGATTTACGCTGCTTATATTGCGGCAAGGGGCAGTAGAAATTGTCTTCACACATTGTACTCATGTGGTGAATCGAACCTGGGTCTTTGGCATGAGTAAACACTTGAACCACTGGGCTACCTCGACTAGCTACAACTGGAAACATGAAGTGGTATTCACACTGTGGAGTCATGTTAGTTAAACTACCCCTGCTTCAAATGTAAACTCTCTGACTGACTGACTGAGTTTGGTTTTACACCACTTTTAGCAATATTCCAGCAACATCACAGGGTGTGTGTGTGGAGGAGACACCAGAAATGGGCTTCACACATTGTACGCATGTGGGGATTCGAACCAGGTTTTCGGTGTGACGAGCCAACGCTTTAACCACTAGGCTACCCCACCGCCCCTTTTAAACTCTCTGAAGAATTGCTACAGGAAATGCATTCTGCTTGTGTTCACTTAAAGAAAGGTAGTCTATGTAATGACTTCTTTACAGGTTTATACATATATGCGTACACATAATATATCATGTTAGAGTCAGTTAAGTTATCTGTATATCATGGCGTTTTGGGTTGATGTCGGGTGACAACCCCATCACTGAGTGGAGTATTTCTGTCATGTTAACACTCTGAGTGAGTGAGTGAGTGAGAGTTTAGTTTGGCACTGCTTTCAGCAGTCTTCCAGAAATGGGCTTCACACATTGTACCCATGTGGTTAATCAAAAGTGGGTCTTGACGAGCGAACGCTTTAACCACTAGACTACTCGACAGCAGCCTTATCACTTTGATGAAACCCACAGGGCAGACATAAAATCACAGAGTGAGTGAGTGAATCTGTTTGAATGTGCCGCTTCTAGCAATATTTCAGCAGACATTGCCCAGTCAAGCCTAAGACCCTGGTTTGATTTCCCACAGGGGTACAATGTGTGAAGCCCATTTCTGGTGTCTCCCACCCTGATATTGCTCATAGTGGGTAAAACTAAACTCACTCATTCAATTTACCATCTAGACCATGCAGCGCAAGGTACCAGGTCATTGGTGAATTGTTCCACCCATAATGCAAACCTAATATCACATGACTACAAGAAGACACAACATACAATAAGACGTCTATTTATCCCTCAAGTATTAACTTTCAACAAATCATCTTGCACTGGGTATATTCTTCAAACGTTCACCAGCACCTCTTCTGTCAAAGGTTGAGTTTTTTCTTTTCAGTGAAAAACTGAAAAATAGAATAAAATGGATGTTTGAATGAACACATGAAACAATCAGTTGTGTAAGTATCGTTTTACACAACAATTGACTTAGCTGATGCTTGTAATTGTGTGGGTAAACCAGTGGTCGACAGCATGAGCAACACTCCACACTATGCACATGGTGAGTTTGGTTATACAACACTTGGAACAGAATGACATTGATAACCACTGTTTGTCCATCAAACGAGAGAAGAATTCTTTCTTTGTGGTTCAGTGAATAGTGTCTGCCCTATCAGAAAGCCTGTGGTTCGCTATACCATGGCTGCATCACACCCAAAGATGCTGCTTATTGTTACCCTGCCTGGTGCTTGACATTAAGGGATAAAACCAGCACTGGTCAGCTCAGAGTCAGGAGAATGTTTGGTTGTTGTTAAACACCACACTCAGTAATATTCCAGCTATACAGCAGCGGTCTGTTACTAATCGAGTCTGGACCAGACAATCCAGTGATCAACAGCATGAGCATCGATCTACGCAATAGGGATACGATGACAAGTCAACCCTGTCAGCGAGCCTGACCACCTGATCCCATTAGTTGCCTCTTACGACAAGCATGGGTTGCTGTAGACCAATTCTAACCCGGATCTTCATGGGTCCAGGACAATGTGTCTAAGTAGGGTATCCATGTTAACAGCGGTATCTCAGAGGGCTAGCTGGCATGAGTTTTCAAAAGTATAAGAACCCATGCACATATTCATGTTACACAGGTTATCAGTGATCAAATTTAAGGCCTTTTTGGGGTCTTTCAAGGCCCAATTAACATTTTCAATGCCTATAAAAACGCATATAGAATATATAACTAGTTGAAGAAACACATGGTTGGTGGAATGTGGGCTGGCCATAAAAGGGAGGTAACATTTAGGTACACCACAGCGTCGGAAAGTTTTGATGGAGATTAATGAACACACATTAATAATTGTCATTGTTTTGTGTAGTTTTCTTTAAACCTAAAAAGGTTTGCTAAATTTCCCTTTAGAGGGCAAATAACTGGGTCTTTTTAAGAGTTACACAAATCTAGGGCCTTTTTAGGGTAAAATGTTCCAATTTCAGGCTTCTTCAAGTCTCCTCGAAGCCTGATGTACGTCCCTGTGTGACTAATAATCTTGACAGAAATGGTGTCAGTGTTTAACATGATGTCACTCTCACCTTGGACATGGCGGCCATGACTGGACCAAATCTGGCCATTTTGTTTAGATGCTGACTAATCCAAGACGGCAGTTTGCCTGCTACATTTGGGCTGCCATAGCGACGGTCACACAGAAGGATGGAGGCATAATCGCCACGGTGACGGATAGCTCGACCTGAAAGAAGTGATGCAGGAGATGATTTATAAACAAGAAAATGATAAAAAAAAGTACTGTTGAGTGGTTGGATCATGTCATATCATCTTAATGAGTTGAAGAAGTGAGTGATTGAGTGAGTTAAGTTTTACGCCGCACTCAGCAATATCCCAGCTATATGGCGGCGGTCTGTAAATAATCGAGTCTGGACCAGACAATCCAGTGATCAACAGCATTAGCATCGATTTATGCAATTGGGAACCGATGACATGTGTCAACCAAGTCAGCGAAACTGACCACCCGATCCCGTTAGTCGCCTCTTACGACAAGCATAGTCGCCTTTTATGGCAAGCACATGGGTTGCTGAAGACCTATTCTACCCCGGATCTTCACGGGTCTGAGTTGAAGAAGAATAACAAAAGTGTATGAAGCAGGACATGGAGTCATCCTTCTGACGACATCCTTACTGAAGGGATTCAGAGCTCCAGATAACATTTAGCTCATGTGGGTACTGTACCCACTGTATTTTTTTGGAGTGGGTATTATGAATGTTGAGTGGGTATTTCATTTTCCGTTACCCACTGCTTTCAAGTATGTGCGTATTTCAGTCATTTTACTCACCTAAGTATTATGTCATTGAGTAAGTTTACTAAGCAGGTATGTTCTGCCTTATGTCATACCTAATCAAAACCAACTTAAATATATTGGAAATGATTTTATTAAAAATCACTCATCCTATACTGACAGTACAACACTAGTCCTATACCAACAGTACAACTTGATAGCAATCAATGTCTTTTTCATTATGCAAGCGAATTTTATAAATATATTCCGTATGCATTTGTTTTAAACTTTTTGCGTATCTAACATTTTAAATGCGTAATTGGTACGCAACAATTATTTTTCAATGCGTAATTTGACATTTTCTATGCGTATTTTACCCGGACACGCAGCTTATCTGGGCCTCTGGGATTAACCTGTTTGGTCATGTGGACAGGGGGACAGGTGGACAGGGGGTCTGACCTCTCATCAGAAGCAGTGTATGAAATAAGAACCGTCCCATCGCCCCGAGACAGTTTAGATTTCTGACAGACAGCCTAAAATTATAGCCAGCCAGCCCGATGGTCTGGTAATTTTTCTTAGATGCTCTATACATCTGAGTAAATTCACCATATTTGGTCTGGTTAAATCCATTTTGGGCTGGTAACATATTGAAATTACCAGCCCTGATGTCTGGCTGGATTTTTGGCTTATTTCATACACTGTCAGAAGGTTGGCAATTCGAGTCCCATCATCAGACTCAGAAATTGGGTTTGAGCAGATTCACATTAAATTGGACAGGGTTTGTACAAATAATCAGCCCTCAAATTTAAGGCCTTTTTAGGGATTTTTCAAGGCCCAATCAACAAGGAACTATAGAAACACATGTAGCACATAATTAATTGAATACACGAAAAGTTGGTCAAATGTGGGACCGGCTTAAGTTGGTCAAATGTGGGACAGAAGCGAATGTGTGATATGAAGCTAATCATGATATTTCAGCTATATGGCGTACAAAAAATTTAAATATATTCCACATGGTGAAGTTGCGGATCGGTGCAGGTAATTACAGTGTCATTAAGAAACCTGTAAGTGATAAGAACAATAGCACAGGGAGACTGTCTCACCGATAGACTGGTTGACGGCCTTCATACAGATGTTCTCATAGTGAATCTGTCCAGGAAGTCGACCGTCCTCAGTTTTAGGCTGTGAAGAGATGTGAATTATCAGAGAATGGTTGGTGAATGCTAAGGAAATGGTCGTTGAAACGGTCATCAAAATAGTTGGTATAGTCAGACCATATTATGCCTACATGTACAGTTATCAAAGTTGACAAACATGTTGTCAGGACCTGTAGTAGTATATATGACCTGCTATGAATGTCCTCAGTCTGTTTTAGTGTGTTCTTTAACAACATTCTATCTGTATAGCGGCAGTCTGTAAATAATTGAGTCTGGACCAGACAATCCAGTGATCAACAGCATGAGCACCAATCTAAGTAATAGGGAAACAATGACATGTGTCAACCAAGTAAGCAAGCCTGACCACCCGATCCCGTTAGTCGCCTCTTACGACAAGCATGGGTTGCTGAATATCAATTCTAACCCAGATCTTCATGGGTCTCAGATTGTATAAGAGTTAAAATACAAACATACTGAATCTACTAGCTGCAACCTGTCTGCTGACAAAATACTTAATGATTTTGAGAGTAAAGACATATACTATGTACATTAAAAACAAAGAGGTTCAATAGGAGTAAAAGTGAGCCCTCACTAGTCATTAGGGCTGTGTATCGTGGCCTAAGTGGCGAGATGATATATCCCAATACATCCAGTTTAAGGAGGCGAGACGATATATCATGGAAGTATTGGCAAGGAACCTGCGAGACGATTATCATCACAATACAATGGTGGCAATACGATACGTATCCCGATACTTTTCAATTTATAATAACACAACATATATGATAGATAAAATGACTGAATCTTATATTTGTTATACAGAACTTGTGTTACATTCACACACACTTAAAAAGCTGTTCATCTAATAAAGTTTCAGTATTTAATGCTTAAGAAAGTACAGTCAAACATATTCAGTATGCCTTGATCTAAAATATATATAAGTTTGCAACTGAAGTTTCCCTTGGGAAGTTGTGTTTCTGCACCAATGCTTTCATAAACCATTCAAGGAATCACTGAAAAAGACTCTTAAAGGTCACATGCAACCAAAAAATCAAACATAATTAAAACACAATTATCACTTATTCATGACATATAATATACATTGCTGGTTATGAAAAAACATATAAACAAAATTATAAGCGTACAATCGCAAATCAAAAGTGCAATATTGTGTACTTGGGTTTACTTCCCAAGAAACGAAGCAGCCGGCATACCGAACCCAGTCAGACTGGTGGGTGTGCACTCAAGTGTAACGGCTGGTTCATTTGCAGATGCCCTCACGGCTCATTGTGTGTGTATATATAGAGATGTTGGGTTTTGTAAATACATGCTCATTTTTTGTGTATAACATTTTGCAATCAACAGACATCATAACATGTCATGTGTTCAAGTATCACACCTGCCTGTCTGTGTAATTACATAATGTGACAGAGACTGAACTCGGGCCATAAATCAATGCGTTTTGTTTATGGTGTATAGCCTGATTGGTGTTAAGTTCAAATTGCATGTGGTCAGTGATCGCAGTTGTGTATTGAATATTGTCATTAGCAGACAGGCAGGCAGACACACAGGTGTCAATAAAACAAGACATTGAGTTTTGTCTGTGACAACGACATATCTATATCACAGTTAGAAATTCTGTCAACGCTAAATAATGGCATTGCTTTTAAGTATCGAACTGAGAAAGTGACTCGGTAAGAAGAACGTGTGGTGAAATAGACAAATGAAATTACATAAACAGTTCATTTACTGTCATAACATATAAAAAGCTCGCGCCTGTGAGATATCAACAAAACATTAGGAAAATAGCTCACACTAAAGCCTTCACCGAGTATTCACCGGACAGCCTGCTTCCAAGTTGCGCGAACCTATTTCACTGCGCACGTGCTATGAGCGCAGCCCAGCTGTTGAAACCAGTTTTCCCCCGAAAAGTCGGGGGAAAATTAGTGAATCGTTTGAACTCTGATTTCGCGCGGTTTTTTTCATCGCGTTATTTTTCAACTTTATAAGTTGAATTTGCATTTTTGATGATTTGTTTCGGTAAGTCCATACCGAAAGGTATCAGAATCTGCAAAGTTGTGTTTTACGTTGCATGTGACCTTTAAGTATCCTTCTAAATTTTATCTTCTCTTTGTTCTCTTTCTTACCAAAGCTAATACATCATTCATAGTTGTTAATAAATGGTGCTATTTGTCAAACAACTAAAACATATTTCAATTACTTGTAGACAAGTATTCTTCAGTTCACAGAGTTTGAAAAATGTTCTGTGACTTATACACCAACTCATTTGTTCATGTAACAAATATAGCAGACACATATATATTCCTGTAAGGTTCAGTTTGTTTTTAAAATTCAGAAGAATTTCAAAGAGACTCCCTTCCTATTACTAATGCAAAACTCCCTACACCTTTAAGTAGTATTTAAGTTGTATCGGGATATATCGTCTCTTGTGGTGATACATCAATGTATCATGGACCCTCGCGATATAAATATTCTGATATATTGTCTAAATGTGTTTTGTATCGATGCACTCGTATCGGGAAGTTGATGATGCAAACATTGATACTATCATTACACCACTACGGGGCACTGAGAAACTCCTCTAGGCTTGGGGTAGTGCCTCATTGTTGAAGAAGCACACTTGTTGAACTTTCAGCTGATTGTTTCAGAAACAGGAAAGCTCATAAGAATCGGATAAGATGAGAGACTGCCCTGATTGACAAGGAGGATCCATACTCAACTGAACTGTCAACACTATCTTCATCTTAATTGCCTCTTTAATACAGCAAAATGGGACATGGGATCATTCTGGCCCAGATCCCAGAGGGGTTAAAAGAATCTGGGTACAGTTTGCTTCAGTGAACAACTACTTTGCTTGCTTTGTGATCACCCATGATCATCCAGCGTATCATATTTCTATTCTGTTGTTACATATGGACTGGGCCAGCTTTCAGCATTCACAGGCTCAGCTTTGTTGGGAGGCCACTGACACGATTCTACAAATACATCCAGTAAAACTACTCTTTTCTTTCATGACTTACAACAAGCAGCAACATCAACAGCTTTTAAATTAAGCTTAAACAGATCATGGTAAATAAAATCCTCAAATATACCACAAAAACTTTCCTTCTACTATTCTAGTGCACAGGAAACATTATATTCCAGGTATAAAAGCTACTTATAACAGCTTTGGGGTTTGTATAAATATTTTGACAAATACACTTGATGATAAAGCATAGGATTTAAAGTTATTAAATCATATTTTTTTAATGTGAAGTTTTCACCACATACAGCTTTTCCATTAGATCTAAGCGTAGTCACAGACCAGTGACCACAAATCTGAAAATAATAAGTGTAGAATGCTACATTTTGACGTTCACATGTTTTTTCACTAGGCTATTCGTGTAATGACATAAACACCTATAGACTACTTGCATATTCCCAGCAGACCCCTGGGAATTCATAGGCATGAATAATATACAGAAGTGTTGTTTCAGATCATTTTGAACCTTCAACTTAACATTTTAGCATAAACTTGGATAAGTCAGTTGTTTAGAAGGTATATCTGTTCAAGAATGGCCTTGCTTTGACTGATGAAGCACAAATCTACATGAATCTATAGGTTTAGCGTAGTATCTATTTCACACATCTCAGTAATCATCTTTCAGTGTTTGGCAGAATGATCAATGATGAATAATACTGATGAGTAAATGATGAACAATCACTACATTTCATGAGATACTTCAGAAATCTCTCCCGACATGTCTATCATTTTGACATCTTGTATGTATTATGACGTATTGCAATGTATTACGACTCTCTCTGTGACTGACTTTGTAAGACCCATTTCCCATCTATTATGCTGTTATTCGAACCCGTATCTAGATGTTCCTTTAGAGCAAGTTGTGCACACATACTTAAGAAATACACTTCGCTCTACCACCATGTATAGTGTAATAAAACACACTTTCGCCCTGAACTATTATAGTTAAAGCATGAGGACGCTTGCGTCCGAGTGCTTTAACGCTATAATAGTTCAGGGCTTAAAGTGTGTTTTATTACACTATACATGGTGGCAGGGCGAAGTGTATTTCTTTTCTAAGATGCCAAATTTAATACTTTCTAAAGATAATTACGATTAATTTAAGGCAGAAAACAAACGATGGTGTCGCTGACCTAAATTAAGAATCCTCGCACAGGGCTAACTGGCGCGCTGTTCTATTGATGTGTCTGCCCCCTACGTTAAGACGAATGTTACCAGAAAAAAACAAATGATAACAGTTTGATGATGGTTTACGTTCGGATTACATATCTTCTCTGAATTATTTTAATTACATCTGTCATTAACGTAAACCATATGGGCCAATATGAACGTTGCATTTCTACTACCAGCGTAAGTTTAGATCAGTACATCCAGAGGAAGTTGAGTAGTCAAGCGACATTCCACAATTGCATTGTGGGAATGTAAACATTACTTAACGCTACCGTGTCGCTGAAAACTTGTGAGTCGAAATGACACATTTAACCGTCGTAAAACATAAACGTAATGCTTCCACCAGTGATTTTAGCTGCGTGAAGCAACAGCAAACCAAGAAACTGGATGCAACGGTGTAGTTTACTGTAGGAGGCCGTACGAGGCGATGACAACTGACATGCATCGTGACGTCGCTTACATTGTGACATAATGTAAAATGGTTCGATTACGAGGGGGCACACTAGAATGGCGCAGTGACGGGATAACGTCATTCAATTGTTACGTCATCAAAAAACTATACCTTTATTGTCTGATAATGTATTTTTTTCTCGATTGTTCTAACCGCTAGGCATCTTAGAAACTCACGTAACCTCTCCTTTCTATTTGTATCTCAGTTGTCACCTGTACAACATATAATTACTTTCACTTTGAGTGAGTTCACTGGAGTATGAAACTTGTCAGAGTTAGGTCTAAACACTGTATGAAAGTCATCGCAAGCAAGTTTATATTCATGGTTACTAAATCAAGTAAAAGCAAACATACATAATTCTTGTTGAGGTAGTCCATCTTCTCCCGGAGTTCAGGCGAGTACATGTTCGGGTATGGCATTCCCACCATGACTATACACCTGTACAGACAGCAAACAAGGTATACAACATCAGTTGAAAACAATCAGTGAGTGAGTTGGGTTTCATGCTGCCTTTAGCAATATTCCAGCAGTATCATGGCAGGGGACACCAGAAATGGACTTCACACATTGTACTCATGTGGGAAATCGAACCCGGGTCTTCGGCATGACGAGCCAATGCTTTAACCACTGGGCTACCCCACTGCCTAGAAAACAATCAGACCAAACTATATACACACACATAAAATTCATCAAGAACTTCTTTACAAAACTTTTTTCCACAAGTGCAGACCAGTTTATTGCCTGTTTAATTAGCAGTGATTCCAGTAGCATTTAATCTGCAGGTGATGTGTTATGGTATATATGTGAAATATACTGGGACTAGCTGAATGTACCTGTCCTCATGATCACTGATAGGTACGAGTGAGTGAGTGAGTGAGTATGACTTTACGACTCTTTTAGCAATATTCCAGAAATATCATGGTGGAGACACCAGAAATGTTCTTCACACATTGTACCTGTGCAGGGAAATCAAACCAAGGCCTTCAGCGTGAAGAACGAGCGCTTAACCAGTAGGCTACCCCACCACCCTACTAATAGGAAAGGCAGCAAGTTTATGACAGTGTGTGAAGATGATAATTGCATAAAGAATCCATATGAAAACATCGCTACTGCATGTGACACTTATGCATTTTATGATCGGCTGAAATTGTCTGCTAATTTTATAAAGTCAAGTCCAATGACGTCATATAGCAGGGGACACCAGAAATGGGCTCCACACATTGTGCCCATGTGGGGAATCGAACCCGGGTCCTTTAGTGACGAGCAAGTGCTTTAACCACTGGGCTACCCCACCACCCTATAAACAATTGGAATCTTCACACAGAGAAATATGTACTTTGTAGCAATTGCTTTTGCATCACAAAATGAAAAAAATATCCAGATGATTTGCAACATTTTTCAAGGATCATAGTCAAAGCTAAAGCTGATAAAAATAAACATCATGTCTCAAGATCTGGCAGCTGTAATGGTGATTTAATTGGTCCACACTTAAGCATTACAACAATACTACAACAGCCTTGACAACTTGAGCAGTGACAATGGAACACATCAGAATGCACCAACATCCACAATGAAATAATCTAAAAACACTTGAAAGAACCTGATGATCCAACGCCCCAAGTTGCTACTGAGAGCCTTTTGTGAGAAACTAGAAACAACATGCTTAAAGGATCAATGCTCTTGGATCACTGAAGAGTGGGACATGCACACACATCAAGGAAAGTGTCCCTACACATGAAACAAGTGATTATCAGATGATTATCAAGGAATGCGTGTCCCTACAGATCAAACACATGTGATTTTGCGATGAAAATCAAGGAATGTGCATCCCTACAGATCAAACATATGTGCATATATATTTATTTTAAAATAGCTGAAGTGTTGGTCAGGTGAGCTAAAAATATGCAATAATTAATTCAGTTGCCTAGTTGCACACTTTAATTGTTTTGTTTGTTTCTAGTTTTCAGCAATATGATAGCAGTACGTAAATAATTGGGTCTGGACCAGTCAATCCAGCAGCTTACATCATGAACATCCACCTATAGAATTTGGATACAATGACTGACTGAGTTTGGTTTTATGCCGCTTTTAGCAATATTCCAACAATATCACGGCGGGGGACACCAGAAATGAGCTTCCCTTATTGTACCCATGTGGGGATTCGAACCCGGGTCTTCGGCGTGACGAGCCAATGCTTTAACCACTACACTACCCCACCGCCCCTGGGATACAATGATATACATTAACCTGATCCTGTAAGTCGCCTCTAATGACAAGCATGGGTAGATGAAGACCCTGTTCTTCATGTGTAAATAATTGTATATATGTGAGAAAACATAACGGTAAAAGTATCATGCTTTTTGTGTGAATGTGGGGCGTTGGGGTAGCCTAGTGGTTATAGCATTTGCTTGTCACGCTGAAGATCCAGGTTCGTTTCCCCACATGGGCACAATGTATAGCCTGTTTCTGGTGTCCCTTGCCGTGATATTGCTGGAATATTGTATTAGCAGAGAAAAACTAAACTCACTCACTCATGGATCATAGAATGAGAATGTCCAGATAATTGCGATTGTGGTTGCATGTCACTCTCCTGTAACTACTTCTGCCCGGAATATGCCCAGTTCCCTATGCTTGTCATATCAGCTGACAAACGTGGGTTTCGAGGTGAGGTGAGGTGAGGTGAGGTGAGGTGAGGTGAGGAGGTGAGCTGAAATTGGGTTTAACGTCGTGCTTGAGAATATTTTGCTCATATGACGACGTGCATGCGTGTGTATGTGTATGTGCGGCTGCTTGTACTAGCCCAGACTGAAGCTGGTTTTATAGTGCTAGCCCACTGAGATACCATGCTGCAGTGAAGCATGAATACCCCACTCAGACACATTATACTGACTCCGAGCTGACCAGTCCTTGATGTACCCATTAATGCCGAGCGCTAGGCAGGGACCAACAAGTACCATATTTTAACGTCTTTTGGTATGACGCAGTCGGGGATCGAACTGGCGACCTTCCACTCTCCGGGCAGACACTCTAACCACTACACCAAGCAAGCGGTCTACGTGGATTTAGAAGATATTATGCTGCGTTTGTTGTAAGGCCGATGTATATAGCAGCCCAAAACAACATTCAGTTACTCTCAACAGGGCTCCAGATAAGGGCCATATCGGTGTATGTATGGATAAAAAATATGCACGGAAGGATATGCATGGTAGGAAATAATTAAGAATACGTAGCAGATACGCACCACAGCAATGGTGTACAGTCTTAAAAATCATTTACAGACATATTTATCTGAAAAAGTATTGTTTTATTGTTTATTGACCTGTTTACATATAGTAGCAATGTTGTGGTGCATATATGAAATGAAACATAAGATGACTGATATTCCATTAAATTCCATTCAGTACTCTTATTGTTTTCCAGTACTCCTATATTGAAAAACTATGGAGTACGTACTCCTGATCATGAAAAATTATCTGGAGCCCTGTCTCAAACTTAGTAAAAGCATGGCAGTGTGGCATGTAGGTTCTACTACACCAAATCAGAATCAGTCGTCTAACAAGCAGTTTCCTTTAGTGTAGACTGAATCATCTGACAGCTGGGATTGGGTGATTTTGTGTAAGAATTGAGTGTTTTCGAAATGTACATCCCTCATGTAATTAAAACTGATCATGTTCTTCAATATTTAGTGCTTTGATTTTCAACACGATGACTTATGGTGAATGTGACCAGAGATATTATTGAACAGGTGACATTTTGTGCGGAACTGGGGTTGGCCTGTGCAGCTTCCTGTTTATGGAAAAGGAACTGTATAAGCTAGATGTTTTGCTTTTGTTGCAGATTTAAAGCCAGGCTGCGCACATGTACATGTGATGGCTGTTGGGGGCTTAGTTATCTTTATAAAAGTATTTAAAGCTACTGTAGAGGTCAATGTGAAAAAATTTGGTTTTGTTGAATCTCACCTGCCGAGGTCATCAGAGAAGTTAATCCCTTCACTCATTTTGCCTCCCACAACACAGAGGAGGATACCCCCAGTGACACCGGCTGATGCTGTGACACTGAACTGTAACGGAGAAGACGTGTGTAATACAGAACTGTAACAGAATCGTGTAATTAAACAATGCCATTTAGAAAGTTGTCAGTGTAACACATTTATTTGTGGGATTACACTTTCTTAGTAAAGTACAAATTCTAGTACTTTTGAGTTGAGTCCCATCCGGGAATCGAACCAACACCCTCAGAGTCAGGCACCTAATCGCTAGCACACAAAGTCTGCCGCCTAACCCGCTCAGCCACCGCGAACTTCCACTGTGGAAAGTGTAATCCCAAATATAACATATGTTACATTGTAACAGAATCCATTTGTGTAAGACAGAACTGTAACAGAATCCATCTGTGTAATACAGAACTGTAACAGAATCCATCCGTGTAATACAGAACTGTAACAGAATCCATCTGTGTAATACAGAACTGTAACAGAATCCATCTGTGTAATACAGAACTGTAACAGAATCCATCTGTGTATTACAGAACTGTAACAGAATCCATCTGTGTAAAACAGAACTGTAACAGAATCCATCTGTGTAATACAGAACTGTAACAGAATCCATCCGTGTATTACAGAACTGTAACAGAATCCATCCGTGTAATACAGAACTGTAACAGAATCCATCTGTGTAATACAGAACTGTAACAGAATCCATCTGTGTAATACAGAACTGTAACAGAATCCATCTGTGTATTACAGAACTGTAACAGAATCCATTTGTGTAATACAGAACTGTAAAAGAATCCATCTGTGTAAAACCGAACTGTAACAGAATCCATCCGTGCATTACAGAACTGTAACAGAATCCATTTATGCAATACAGAACTGCAACAGAATGCATCCATGTAATACAGAACTGTACCAGAGAATGCATCTGTGCATTACAGAACTGTAACAGAATGCATCTGTACAACAGTGAACTGTAACAGAGAATGCATATGTACAACAGTGAACTGTAACAGAGAATGCATATGTACAACACTGAACTGTAACAAAATGCATCTGTACAACACAGAACTGTAACAGAGAATGCATCTGTACAACAGTGAACTGTAACAGAGAATGCATCTGTACAACACTGAACTGTAACAAAATGCATCTGTACAACAGCTTAACTGTAACAGAACATCTGTAAACAGTGAGAAGAATGCATCTGTACAACAGTGAACTGTAACACAGAATGCATCTGTACAACAGTGAATGCTGCTGTACAACACAGACCTGTCACAGAATGCATCTGTACAACACAGAACTGTAACAACATGCAGAACTGTAACACAGAATGCATCTGTACAACACAGACCTGTCACAGAGAAAGCATCTGTACAACACAGACCTGTCACAGAATGCATCTGTACAACACAGAACTGTAACACAGAATGCATCTGTACAACACAGAACTGTAACACAGAATGCATCTGTACAACACAGAACTGTAACACAGAATGCATCTGTACAACACAGAACTGTAACACAGAATGCATCTGTACAACACAGAACTGTAACACAGAATGCATCTGTACAACACAGAACTGTAACACAGAATGCATCTGTACAACACAGAACTGTAACACAGAATGCATCTGCAGAGATGCCAACCCTATTTGGGGCCTAAGTGTAATACTAGAGGTCAAAAAGTGTAATTTGGACCTAAAAAGTGTAATACTTGTCTGTCGATCGCTTCAACATGGTACACGTTTTCACGAAAGGAAGATTCTAGACAGAAACACATGTGACCAATCATTATGAAGCTCCATACATCGAAAATTGTTGGTCATGTGACTCAACATACTTTAATTCCTTGCAAGTTAATTGGAATGAGTGCGATGCTAAGAGTAAGCGATTCCTATCGGTGCGAGGCCATTTCTGCAACCCTGCACCTGTGCGTTACGAAACACTTCCCTGTGAAAATTTATCCACTTAACTGATTTTCGAAAAACGAGTAGAAAAGCGTAATTTTCGCAGATTAAGTGTAATGGCGTAATTTAATGGTCAAAATCGTAATAATTACGCCTAAAGCGTAAGGGTTGGCATCTCTGCATCTGTACAACACAGAACTGTAACACAGAATGCATCTGTACAACACAGACCTGTCACAGAGAATGCATATGTACAACACTGAACTGTAACAGAGAATGCATCTGTACAACACTGAACTGTAACAGAGAATGCATATGTACAACACAGAACTGTAACACAGAATGCATATATACAACACTGAACTGTAACAGAGAATGCATCTGTACAACACAGAACTGTAACAGAGAATGCATATGTACAACACAGAACTGTAACAGAGAATGCATATGTACAACACTGAACTGTAACAGAGAATGCATCTGTACAACACTGAACTGTAACAGAGAATGCATATGTACAACACAGAACTGTAACAGAGAATGCATATGTACAACACTGAACTGTCACAGAGAATGCATATGTACAACACTGAACTGTAACAGAGGATGCATATGTACAACACTGTAACAGAGAATGCATATGTACAACACAGAACTGTCACAGAGAGAATGCATATGTACAACACAGAACTGTAACAGAGAATGCATATGTACAACACTGAACTGTAACAGAGAATGCATATGTACAACACAGAACTGTAACAGAGAATGCATATGTACAACACTGAACTGTAACAGAGAATGCATATGTACAACACTGAACTGTAACAGAGAATGCATATGTACAACACAGAACTGTAACAGAGACACTGTGTGCAACACTGAAAAACAAAACAAGTAACAAAAAACGTAACTGAATCCATGTGATTGTGTGCTTGGAATGAAACAAATGACGACATTGTAACCAAGGAAACTCACCTTTATACATTTGCCAAACTCAGCAAGAGTTGAGTCAACCATAGAAGCCAGTTTGGGTTCACGGAATATCTGAATAAAAGAAATAGTTACTGTACATATAGTACAGCCAAATAAGATGTCGGCCTGTTCTTACAAATGACTGTTAACCCACATCATCTTTTTCAGTTCATGTTTTCATGGCACTTGGTGCCAGTTGACAATAAACGGTTACCTGAAAGAGCAGTATTTAATCTTCACTGGTTCGGGCTGGATATAGCGAAATCAGTCATTGACTTATTGTTTCAGTTTTGAAGCATAACAAGTAGATTACCAGCCTTCATCAGTCATGGTAACCCTCACCCCTCATATATCATCCCTACTCACCCTCTTTCTGGCTGCTATCTTCTTCAGCATGCCTGAACTGTCCCAGTGGTTGTACACTTTCTTCTCGTAATCGTAAGATGGGAAGAACATGACCACACCCCCTGGTACCACCTGACACACGTTCATCACAAGACGGCCCAGCTCATCAAGCTGGAACAAAGACAGCCATGAGTGAATGTTGTGTATGTCCCAGTAAGGAATATAACAGCTATACAATATACATATAGTGAAATGGCTTAGCAGATACAATGTTGTTTTACGTTCCAGTAAGGAATATAACAGCTATACAATATACATATAGTGAAATGGCTTAGCAGATACAATGTTGTTTTACGTTCCAGTAAGGAATATAACAGCTATACAATATACATATAGTGAAATGGCTTAGCAGATACAATGTTGTTTTACGTTCCAGTAAGGAATATAACAGCTATACAATATACATATAGTGAAATGGCTTAGCAGATACAATGTTGTTTTACGTTCCAGTAAGGAATATAACAGCTATATAATATACACATAGTGACATGGCTTAGCAGATACAATGTGCACTTAACAATAAAAGCATGAAACTTTGCACATTCATAGACTGATGCATAGTGAACAATTTAGGATGTGGAGGCACTCAAAATAATTTCATTTTGCGCATGCGTACTAGATAAATAATATTTTGCCTTTAACCAATTTTATTGTTTCTTATCATCAAATGCACAATTAGTATGGAAACTTGATCTAGTCGATCCACTAATATACATACACAGGTCATAGCTTGGAGTAGATAAAGATCAGATCAGACAAGAACTGGTATCACCAGGGTACTGCTGCACAAAGTGATCTTAGTGTCAAGTTTACCATAACTCCCATGTCTTATAAAGGACTTACAACGGTCTTAGCACTAAAGTTGCTTTGTAAATGACACCCAGATGACCTACCAATGCTGGTTTGTCTCTGTTCTGATAGGTGAGGCTGAGATCACCTATATGTATTAACTGGAACACATATACACCATGGAGTATATAAAGATCAGACCAGCCAAGTACTGGAATCACAAGATGACCTACCAATGCGGGTTTGTCTCTGTTCTGATAGGTGAGGGTGAGATCACCTATATGTATTAACTGGAACACATATACACCATGGAGTATATAAAGATCAGACCAGCCAAGTACTGGAATCACAAGATGACATACCAATGCGGGTTTGTCTCTGTTCTGATAGGTGAGGCTGAGATCACCTATATGTATTAACTGGAACACATATACACCATGGACTATATATAATGATCAGATCAGCCAAGTACTGGAATCACAAGAAGACCTACCAATGCGGGTTTGTCTCTGTTCTGATAGGTGAACTCCAGGATGTGGTCTGAAGGTCCACTTGGCACAACCATCGGCAAGATATTGCAGCCTGGGATCACGTGACCTGCAATAGTCACGCCACCTGGTGTCACTCATTTACATAACCTTCACAACTAGTACACATGGAGTAAGTCCTTGTGAGAACATGCCAAAAATTGTGTGCAAGGCTCACTAACACCCCTGACCTTAAAAATTAAAATGTCTTCATCAAAATTTGCACTGCATCTCTTGAATACCAGCCAGCCAATAGTTTTTAAGGTATTGGTTGAACAAAAATGTCTTCAGATGGACAGGAATTCTTTGGGATAACTATATACTCTGACCTTTTCTAGGTTCCACACAGAAGAGCATGTACAAAGCACTGCAGTGTTAATACCCCTATCACTGGCTAAGTGTGCACTTAAGTCCTCATACCCCTTGTCAGTATATAAACTATTAGTGCTAGAAGGATTACACTCACATTAACAACTCATCCTACCTGGTACCCATTCACTGCTGGGCGACATTATACACAAATTTTCACTTGTTGTATCACACAATCTATTTTCACATTAAAACTGATTCCCACGTTTCATGTTTTCCATGCTTGACCGGCAGACAACTCACCACACGAGTATTCCAGTATCCTGTCTGCCTGAACCCCTGCCGCTGTGAATAGCTGCTGTTTAAACTCCGAAATCTGCAGAATAAATTGAATAATGCATGATCTATGTTTCATTGTGATAAATGTTTTCTTTGAAGCTTTCCCTTTGAGTGAATGACTGTCAGTGGGGTAGCATAGTGGTTAAAGCGTTCACTCGTCATGCTGAAGACCCGGGTTTTAATTCCCCACATTGGTACATTTGGTACAAGTTGTGGCCAATGTGGACAGTTTGAGTATTGGCCAGAATGGACATATTACGAATGAATTTTAACTTCTTGCACAATTTGAGTGGGTGAGTAAGTTAGGTTTACGCCACTTTTAGCAATATTCCAGCAATATCATGACGGGGGGACACCAGAAATGGGCTTTGCACAATTTGAACCCATGCCCTTTCAGACAGTGTGAGCTAGAAACACCTAATTACAGATCCATATCTTGAGACAATGTTACCTGAAACAAACATTATATTTGGCCTGACCTAACAGACAATGATTTGAACAGCAACAAATCGTTAACTGCAAGTCACATCGGGAATCAAACTCGGACTAATTTCAACATGACCAAACACCCTTACCTCAGGGCTACCTCACATAACCAATATGGAAGCAGGATCCACTTACCGGCTGCATGGTGCCTCCGGCCACTACTACAGCTCTCGCCTCCTTCACGACACTTTTAAAATGGACGGCAGGGTTTAACAGCAAGAACTTGAGGTAACTCTGACTGAGCCGAGCTGGAAACGAACAAACAACTAGATCTTTAGAAAGACGGAAGATAGGTTCTGCAGTTTTGTTTGAAGTGTCTCATACAGTTTAGCCATTCTTTGCTGAGTGAACCACCAGGCACTTTTTATATACACTTCAAATGTATGTAACATTGATCAACTTTCTTTTAACTTGTGCTGTGTTTATTTCATTGCACTGAACGGAATAGAGTACTACAGACTTATTGCTGATTTTGTTTATCGAAGTCCATTATTGGAAGGACATTCAACCAGTCCTAACCAACTGTAATTTCTGTTTAAGAAACAAAAAATAACTCCAGTGTCAGGAAATAAAATGTCTAGCTTATTTTCAAGTTTATTTTAATTAAGTTATATTATAGGAAAACATTTTTTCTCTCTTTTCTATAAAAAAGTCATGCCTGTCAATATTTTCCTTATGTGAATAAATATTGAGCAAGATGAAGACTTTGCTATGTCGGTGTGCTTCACTCAACAGGACCCACTGATTACTCCTTATCAGATATAACTAATCTGAGATCTTTGTAATGGCTTCTTGCTGTGTTTACTTTGCACACTGATGACCATTCTCCCATCTTTATCAGCATTGGTGAGAGCCTCCAGGAAACCCTCGATGTGCATCAGGGGAGACTTCAACACTGGCTGGTCCCCACACCGAGACGATGCATCTGGAAGGCAATGCCGTAGCTAGACTCAAACAAACACAGGTAGCTGTACTCAAACAAACAGCTTCACTCACACAAACAGATGTTGCCATACACAGACAAATGGATATAGCTATTAGGGCTGCAACGATTCGGTTAGATTCAACGAAAATCGAATCCGACACCTTAGTTTCGATTTTCTATAACCATTATCACTATTTCGATTTGATATTTGAATACCTATTTAAATTATTTCCACACAGCCAGAACGAAATTTGGACTCCAACTCGAGCAGTTTGGAGCGCTGAAATAAGGCGATATGTGATTGGTTGACACCAGGTTAATTATCCAATGAGAATTGTAGCTAGTAGACATCGCCAAGTTTACGATGGATTTCATGCAAAAAAAGCCGACCTTGAGAGTTAAATGAAATGGATGTTTTTACTTGTATGAAGAATCGAATCGAGGGTCCAATATCGAAAATCAAATCGAATCGAGGTATGGGTGAATCGTTACAGCCCTAATAGCTATACTCAGATAAAGAGACACATCTATGTTCAAACAGATGGGGTAGAGCAAATCATATTTCCCAAATTCATTCTACTCAAAAGAAATTAAGTATACTAAATCAACACATAGCATTCAGATATAAGATAAATGTATATAAGCAGACATGCATGAAAAAATCTCATTTCTGCTTTTAAAGAAAAATTGAAGTCCATACTGAAAACGTAAGACTATTGTGTGGCATTCCATGTGAGCATCTTGCTTCAGCATATTTCTTACTTCATCAAAGTGTTTTGGATTCAAATATGAAACAATAGTTAACAGATTTTAATGGTAACATGAACAAAATGTAGATCCATGTCCCTTCTGTGTACCTGTCACTACTGTCTCCGCCACAGGCTCGGCCTTCCGGTTGATTTCCTTCAGAAACACAGACAAACCAGACTCGGTTTTCTTTTCTGTCTTACATGGAGCTGCAGGGACAAACAACATGAAAACATCACTGTAGGAACAAATAACTAGTAAAATGATGGACGTTTTGATATTTACTGTAACAGGGATATTGAGTGTTAGTTTTGCAGGGAACTTTTGACCAACAGAGCTAGGAACGATTCACATACATTTACCCTGAATAAAACTTATGTGAATGTATGTGTGTATCAAGTAAACCCATTTTTGTTATTACAAAGTAAACATTAATATCAATTAGAACCTAATATGTTGCTTGACAGACATACAGGATGATTTAGGCTAGCTGTTTTTACAAATTGTGATAAAAGTAAAAGCGTAAACTTAATGTAAGCATTTGTTTATAGATTGGACTCTCACTCACCAGGGGCAACCTCCTGAATCTGGTACTTCTCCACAAACCCATTCAGCTGAAACACAAGGAATTCACATGTTAGAAACATAGCGCACGCATGCACACACACACCCACCCACCTAAATTTCAACATTTAAAACTTGAGAGAAAGGACATTCTGCTGTATAACAGTGTTGCAGTGTATATTATGTAAAACACACATATTTTTTCTGATACCAAACAAAATTTTCAAAATAGCAGACATGATGTTTAATTAATTCAGCTTTATTGGTAAAGTGGTTGTCGAAGACGTTTACAGACAACAAACAGGTTGGCCAGGATATTAGACCACATGAATGCAAATTATATGGGTTGTAACTGAGAAATAAACAGTTGTGTATGGAAGATTATAAAGTTGGACTCCACCTTCTTGCTGTTACCGGTGAAGATCCGGGTTAGAATTGGTCTTCAGTAACCCATGCTTGTCGTAAAAGGCGACAAATGGGATCGGGTGGTCAGGCTTGCTGACTTGGTTGACACATGTCATCGGTTTGCAATTGCGCAGATCAATGTTCATGCTGTTGATCACTGGATTGTCTGGACCAGGTTCGATTATTTACAGACTAAAAACTAAACTCACACACTCACTCACCTTCCTGCTGATCATGCTACGTCGACAGTAACGGAGCACTTTGAACAGATTGATGTTGTCAAGACTGGCTTGAAACAGGAAGTCATTGATTGTCAACAGTCGGGTTTCTGGAAGTGAACAGCAATCATTTCCAAAGATGGAAGCAGGGGTGGTACTGTGAGGTACTCAAGGGAGTATAGTCCGTTTGCAGTGAAAATGTACCGGTTAATTTCACTTTAAACAAAAAAGTAACTCGAATAAAGTGAAATTAAGATTGCAAATCCTCATAATTTTACCTTGCCAATTGCACATTTAAATATCAGGATTTTATTCAACTTAGGATAAACGTTGTTTAACAAACAATCAAAGCTTCAAATCACTATTATTGGTTTGTGTTACAAGGGGGTATGCACATTAAATGAAACACCGAGAACAAGTAGGGTTGGTCTAAGTTAATGCTCATCACGTACCGCACATGCATTTGTTTCACTGTTCCAACTACTGCACTTACCCCCATGTAATACAAACAAGACTATAGGAAGAAATGGTAATGTGACTGCACAGGCAGCATGGGTTGTACAGACACCAGGCCCCGATTTCTCGAAACAAACTTAAGTTTTTACTCAAATTTCAAACTGAGTTTTACAATTTGAAACAGCTGAAAATTTAACTCAACTGCATTTTGAAAATAAAAAAGCCTAAACAACTAAAGTAATCTATCCACCAAACTCAAATTGTCTACTATGTTAGAGTTTAATATCAATTTCACTTTATTCTGGGAAATGCATTTTTCTGCGTTTTCTCAAATTTGAGTAAAAACTTTCACTTAAGTCAAAACTTAGACTTAAGTTTGTTTCCAGAAATTGGGGCCAGGGATCTTAGAATGAAAACTGGGTGTACTCAATCCCCGACATGGGTTATTCTGTAGTGCTACGAGGGAGATGTAGGGTTTGCATTTTGGTGCATTATAAATGTCCACAGTATTGTTGTGAGCGTTTGAAGGCTTAAACTCCATGTCGATAGAAAAAGAATTCAGCCAGTACACTTGTTGTTTGATAATCCTAGACAGATCAACAAACTGCCATCAACACTATAGCTTCCTCTATTAGGGAGATGATGTAAGTGTGCACACAGGACAATGGTGTATGTTTTAGAGTAAATATATTACTGTAAACGTACTTATTTTCGCGTGGTGCAATTTTCGCGGAATTGACAGTTAAGACTACATCGCGCGGTCAATTATTCGCGCAATCAGTAATTGCCGGAACTGCCAGCTGTCTCTTTGGCCGCCACTACATCGTTACATAGCAGTGAAAACAAACAGAGTGGCTTAACCTGTCAGGCAGCGTTTATTGCTTACTCACTGGAAATCCCTATCTGTGCGCTATACTAGTACACAGTAATCCGTTTACTCACGGAAGTATTAAGTGCTTAGAAAGTGAGATATCGTGATGCAAGTACTAGTATATAATGACTGAATGAATGACAGGTTTATTCGCGTTGTATAATTTTTGCGCTAAAATGTTTTGCGCAAAAAGCGCGAAAATAAAACCTGTGCAAAATATAATACGTTTACAGTATTTTCTCCTCATACTAATTGCATATGCCTTCATTCTCCCAAAATGCAGTGGAAACTGTACCGTGTTCCCTAAGAACCAGGGTTTTACATGAGGCATGATTCCTGGTGTATTTGACGCAACAATTTTGTAAACGACTCTCAAAATATTATCATACGAGTCAAGCTTGACGTAAGTTTTATGGGTGGTCCTTACAATTCAGTTCAATAAAATCGATTTGATAAGCAAAAAATGATATTGTTCGATGATAGTTTGACTTTTACAGAGCTGTCAGGTTGTTCCAGAGAACTCAGACGAGTCAGTAATTCTGGCTGTTTGAACTGAACAATGCTGTAGTTTCATTTGGTGGTGTGACATACACAGTTACATACTGAGAATGATTAACACAAAGAAATATTAAAATTTTGATGACTCCCAAACATTGAAAATGACTCCCCAAAATATATATTGTGAGTCACCATGACTCCCATTTTTAAAAGTCTGTGTAAAACCCTGATGAACAGAAAAACCGAATGCCCAGTGCACATGCACCAGAACCATGTGACCAAGCCATTCGTCTGTCACTGTTGGACAGTGTGCAAGTTGGTAATATTTTCTATTGTGCTACAATCTCAGCAACCGCAACAGTTCTATTTCAAATTTGGGGGGAAATGAAGAGATAAACAATTATTATGAGCCAGGGTAAGGAAACAATATATTTGAGTCTTACCTTTTGCCCCAAGTAACTGCTTATCTGCTGCAGTGTCAAGTTTCCCTGTACAAGCAGGTGAAGCTCATGTAGATGATATACAAACATGGGGATGGGTATAAGATGGGATGAATTTTGAGTCAAGAAATATGGTACGAGTACAACAAAAACTATTACCTGCAGATAATCAAATCTGAGTAACTAAACCAGTGGTTGATAGGATGAGGATCTAACAAGTATTCTCATGCCTTATTTTAAGAGTTAAGGCCACATAATATTTTCTTCTTTTTACTAACTTACAGATTTTAAACCCAAATCTTAAAAATGAATTGAAAATGTAAAGTAAATAAAATTTCCCATTCCACATAGTTTTTCCACATCCTTAAAATGTTAAGTGGTTCATAAGCGAAATTTGCAACATTAATTCTCGCATTTAAAATAATCTGTTTTCAGTGGTGGCAACAGTAAATGATTTTACTTCAACATTTCACCTACTTCTTGATGGAAGTATTAAAAAGACCATTGCTTTCAAAAAAATGTCTTCCCATAACAATCTTTGGGTGTTTTCAGATTCGTAAACCATGTTATAAAAAAATTCTGGTCTAATGCATTAATGAAAGCTGGAGTGATTGGTAACCTACCACCCAGGAACTTGACCAGACTGGCAAGGACGTAGAGGAGTTGTTTCACATACATCAGATTCTTGGCCTTCAGACGGGATCGGAACTTGGCTTCGTACTGACTGAGCTGAGAGTGGGCACGTAGCACCTGTCAGTAGTAGATTTCAGTTTATAAACCTCCACACTACCAAACACAATTGTTTGTTATTCAATCATGCAGACAGCTCTGTTATATTACAGTGCCTGTAGACAATGCACCTTGCACCTGACAATCCAGTGGTTGATAGTGTGAACAACATGTCTCTCGATGTGAGATAACCAGTATTTAATCAACACACCATTGACGACAAACATATAACAAAAAGTTCTTACAGCCATGTGATCTAAAACCACCTACTCTCACACTTTCGATTTCAAACAAAGAAATTGAAAACAAACAGAGAATATTAATCGAGTGTGTTTTCGTATCATTAATATCATCAGGAGTTCGAATTTTTTTTAAAAAGCCACTTGCCACAGGGCAAGTGACTTTAAGAAAGTAACTTGTCCTGACCTAATTTTCCACTTGCCCTGATTTTATGACATAATTATGATGATGTAATTATGAAAGAAGAAATCAACATGGTATTTGATGTTAATGTTTACTGGACTATTTATTGAAAAGTGATAAATAGCAAAGAAAGATAACTCTACTTTATTATCATTGCGAAATGTAATAGCTACATTTTGAGCAGATATGAAATTAAATCCAAGTTTATTTGCGGTTTGAAACCATAAGTTGAAGTTATCTAGTAGCCCACGGACAAGTAAGATACCATTATTTGATTGCCCGAAATGAAAACTGACTTGTCCCGGGCATCGGGCGATGGGATATTTGAACACCTGATCATATATTAGGAATAAACATTATGTATTATGCAAGCCTTCATATTTTTTTCCTAATATATGATATTAATGATACAGAAACACACTCGGTTAATAAACTCTTTATTATATGTCATTCTTAAAATTACTCTAAAAAAAGAAACAAATAGTAAGTGAATTCATATGAAGAGAATCGAGCATTTGCGTAAGAATACTTGGCGGTACACCAAGGTGAAGATTGATGGAGACATATGGTTGCGTCTAGTTGCTAAAGTACTGTCGATAATAGAAAAAACCTTTTTTTTCACATTTATATCTACACTTTAGAAAGATAATATGTTAAATTGTGAAATATCTGTTAAACTAAGTTCAGCCTAACTACAGTCTCAGTGGGAGGGAGATAGGAAATGTAAAAGAAGGATTTTAGTGCAGAAATGAGCAATGCGGGTGTTTTCAAAGTCCGAAGCGACTTATTTGGAGCAGACCATGGCTTTATACAAATTAGTGTTCAAAGATATTGTATAACAAATGACTCTTTTGAATGTCCATTGTGAAATTAGACTTAGCTTCATTATAACCAATAGCAGACGTAATAAATAACAACTTTAATATTGAAACTATTAAGGATGTAGCTACCATTAAGCTTCACTATCACTATAAATGGAAACAGGTAGGAGGGGTCGTCTCAAAAGCAAAACCAAGACGGGTGTTGCTGACAGTAGTTGGGGTCGGGCTTGGGGATAGAAACATCAGCTAAGATTTGATAATCAATAGAGACATATTCAATACACATGAAAAAGCATAAAAAATATTTGAGATGACCCCTTGTGTCAGTGGGCAGCACGTGCATTTCATGCCAAGTGAGTCGACAGTACGTCGTCATACCTGGCTGAGCGACCTAATTGACATCTATAGTCTGATCTATTGTTTTCAGCAGCTATGCATATTTTTGCCCGATTTTACAAGTAAACATGCTTTTCTGGATATCCTATTACGCATCCCACTGAACGCGCAGTTAGGCCGATGTGGGTTATTTCGACATATGCTATTTGCAATTGTGTAAACTTTAGGGATACAGAGTAACAGCCTAAAAACAGTTTTTTTTCTATTTCCGACAGTACTTTAGTACAGTGCAAACATAACTTATGCTTAAAATAAGATATTTCTGTCTAAAAAGAACAACAAAATCAGGCAGGGTTTTCCTGGCAGTAATTCTATTTTCATTGCGGGTAATCACCTCGTCAATATCATTTTCTGATACCTGACAGAATCGATTTGTCGTCTGTATTGTGATCGATAGATCGAAATCCTTGGTTGGTACCTTTCTTAGACGATTGTGCCTCATAATCCGTACCTTCAATTTGAATGAAGTACTCCGTTTCATGTTTTCCAAAGTTAATTAATGCAGTAACGACTCCAGAACCTCTGTTATCAATTCTTACAGAATCACCAATTTTGAGAATGGGGGCAGCCATGTTAGACATTTTACAAACATTAAACTTAGGATGTTAAACATTTTAGGATTCGCATGGCGTGCATGGAGTTGTGTGAAAGTAGTTCGTGCATTGACATAATTTGCATAGTTATCAGATTTGGATCCTAAGTTTATCAGATAGCTTTATTGCACTGATAACACCCTCCATTAGATGATAAACATAAAGTCACACTGCCCTTCTCCAAATGCTCAATTGTCTAAAAAACTTACAAATTTGTTTGCACAACCTTATGAGTCACAATACAGTCGCTGCATACATCTACACATCACTATACAACTGACGGAGGTCAGTAAATCTATTTTTTCCCCCACAGTTTTCACTGAAATAGGAAATTCAGACAACTTGCTGACAATGCAAGACTTGATAGAGGAGTTGATAGAGGAACAACACTAGGATGTTCTCATGCATCAGGAATATCACAACAGTCGGGTAAGGCTGCATCTCAGATAGAGGCCTCTCAGCAGAAGACAGTTGACATTATCACGGAAAAGAAAGTAACACTAATGCAAATTTATTGCAATATTGATCACACCAGTAGCCTTTGTATTCAAACAGATACAGCTTTCAATAAGAAATAATATTGGAGACATTTTCAGCGTTGACCTACCTGGGCCCCAGTGACCTCTGTGCTGTAGATGTTGTTGATGGTCTCCAGTAGATTGTGTGCCTCGTCGATGACGACGATGTTTCCAGCAAGCTTGATGCCACATGCTTCCCTTGTTGAGTGATGCAGCAAGGTGTTGTAAGGGAGAGCAACAATCTGCTCAACACAGCGACGATGAAACATCAACTCAAACTGTGGTATCTTCTAAACCGTATTATCCAATCCCCAGTGTTTTCATTCTCTGGTATATACCATATACATGCATTTGCTATTGGGATTGGTAAATTTAAGGGTTGATGGTCTCTGTGTCTGGCAGAAAACTCTATTGAGTTAGTGAGTGAGTACGGTTTTATGCCGCTTTCAGCAATATTCCAGCAACATCACAGCTGGGGACACCAGAAATCGGCTTCACATATTTTACCCAGCGTGACAAGGCGAACGCTTTAACCACTTGGCCACTCCAATAGAAAATTCTATTGAAAAATGAACATCATATCACAGACTGTTAAGACTGTACTTCATGCAAATCAAATGTTGGGCGTGTGCAACTCACTATCAAGGTCCACAAGAAGTTTTAGTGATGATGGTACTGATACATTTTTGTGTTGACTGGTATTTTCATTCACTCTTACAAGCATATGCTGCTGAGGACCTATTCTAACACTGTAGACCCACAGGTATACATCTAAGGCCTTTATGTATTGGGCACAGTGAAGGCCTGATGAAGCTGTACATACCTCTGCTGAAGGGACAGCAAATCTCGTCCCAAAGTAAGGACAAGCTTTCAAATCCCGCCCCAGCTTCACCAGCTGCTCAATGTCCCCAATATTTAGCTGGAAAAAAATATTACAATCACTGAGACTTTTCAGAAGCTATGATGACTTAGGTTGAACAACACAGAATCAATTCTAAAAGCTGAGCGTTTTATGTTTCTATGTCACATGGATGTAGGTATTGTTCTTTAACAATCTGAAAATGTATGTTCAAATTTTTCTTCTATTTGCAAAACCCCACAGAGTGCCCGAACCAGACCAGCAGCAAATTGAACTCCAAAACAAAAACCACCATTCTCAACAAACTGCATCAACTCCAGTCCAACAAAAGACCGAGCACTAAGTCCTACGAACTTAATTGTTGCTCTACGTTTCACAAGCCTGAGAAACGTGGCCATGTTATCACAGGGACTGGGTAGAAATGACAGCAGCTCTCAAATGTTTTTCTAGCTAAATGTGTGTTGCAAGAAATCCCAGACATGAAACGTCAAGACATTTGATTCCCCGCAGCAGACGTAGACTCACCAGTGCCCTGTCAGTGTAGTCTTGTATCAAGGACTGTTTATAGAAGGGGCAACCAGCACTGTCTGCCTTCTTGCTCTTCTTGGCACCAGGTTCCTTTGATTTACCTAAAAGTAGATTGATTGAGTGAGTATAGTCTTATGCTGCTTTTAGCAATATTCCAGCAACGAGGAACACCAGAAATGGGCATCACACATTGTACCCATGTGGGGAATCAAACACATGTTTTCAGTGTGACCAGCGATGTTTTAACCACTAGCGTACCAAACCAACCTCAATACAGTAGAAATGCAGGTGTTCTCCAAAATCTAATCACAAAATTCTTGCTGCTTTGTCTGTGATAATCATAAATCTCTTTTCAGCAAACACTAAATGTAGGCCAGCCCCATTTCTCTTCTTGTCTTTAAGGATGAGTTTTGAAAAAGATTTAAAATTTAGTAACATTCTGATTCAAAAATGCTATTCTTTATCACAAAGAGCATCAATATAAAAACAAATAAAACAGGGATGGCAACAGGAAAATCAGTTTTCAGCTGAAAACATAATATTGTGTCATTGAATGGGGGGAGTTCAGGGTTTCTCAATGGATTTAGATGATTCACAAAATTGATCGATTTGAAATAAAATCGGCGAAAATCTGTGGATCAGCAGAAAATTGCCATCCCTGATAAAAGAAACTTCCATAACATCAAACATGGATTCATTTACTGAGTATCTTGCAGTTTGGCATATTGATGAAGCAAAGCTGTATGTAAAACATGTGATAAATCTTGACCAGGCTATTGATGCAGGAATAACACTGGCTCCTGCCGTTGTTGTGAATGTCAGAGTTCACACACTCACCTTTGTTCTTCTGAAGCTCTAAACAGCGATCATTCATGAGGCTGAGGGACTTCAACCGCCGGACACTCTCGTTGACACACAGACTCTGCGAGACAGTTGGACACTTTTGATATTTCAGTGATTCAAGGTGTTAATGCTGAAGCTGGTAAGGGCTAAATATTTCAGCTAAATCATGTCAGTGTTTTAAGTCAGGACAAGACCTACCAATGAGCGATGCTATGTGGAAGTATGCAGGACCAATAACTGTCAGTAAATTGATTGATTTTTTTTATTAGATACATTAACTACAAAATTTTGGGGGACAAGTTGGTTTATGAGTGAGTGAGTGAGTGAGTGAGTCAATGAGTGAGTGGGAGAAGGCTTTTAGCCCAGGAACATCATGTTGGTACCCATGTACCAAATGCTTCACACAATGTAACCATGAAGAAAAAAATCACAAGCCTCTACATGATGGCTACCCCATCCCATGGTAAGCAGCGAGCCACTAGACTACCCCATCCTATGGTAAGCAGCGAGCCACTGGACTACCCCATCCTATGGTAAGCAGCGAGCCACTGGACTACCCAATCCCATGGTAAGCAGCAAGCCACTGGACTACCCCATCCCATGGTAAGCAGTAAGCCACTGGACTACCCCATCCCATGGTAAGCAGTAAGCCACTGGACTACTCCATCCCATGGTAAGCAGTAAGCCACTGGACTACCCCATCCCATGGTAAGCAGTAAGTCACTGGACTACCCCATCCCATGGTAAGCAGTAAGTCAATGGACTACCCCATCCCATGGTAAGCAGTAAGTCACTGGACTACTCCATCCCATGGTAAGCAGTAAGCCACTGGACTACCACTGGACATCCCATGGTAAGCAGTAAGTCACTGGACTACCCCATCCTCTGGTAAGCAGTAAGCCACTGGACTACCCCATCCCATGGTAAGCAGTAAGTCAATGGACTACCCCATCCCATGGTAAGCAGCGAGCCACTGGACTACCCCATCCCATGGTAAGCAGTGAGTCACTGGACTACCCCATCCTCTGGTAAGCAGTAAGCCACTGGACTACCCCATCCTATGGTAAGCAGTAAGCCACTGGACTACCCCATCCCATGGTAAGCAGCGAGCCACTGGACTACCCCATCCCATGGTAAGCAGCGAGTCACTGGACTACCCCATCCCATGGTAAGCAGCGAGTCACTGGACTACCCCATCCTATGGTAAGCAGCGAGCTACTGGACTACCCCATCCCATGGTAAGCAGTAAGTCACTGGACTACCCCATCCCATGGTAAGCAGCGAGTCACTGGACTACCCCATCCCATGGTAAGCAGTAAGCCACTGGACTACCCCATCCCATGGTAAGCAGCGAGCCACTAAGATAGATATTAGTACAAGATGAGTTGAAAAAACACAAACTGAAACTGACCTGTCTAGATCCCAGAGATGTCACCCGTGTGTTCTCTCCATATGGGCTCTTAATGATTTCCCGGACAAACTGTGACAGTTGAGAGTGAGTTCTGCTGCAGAAGTAGATCTAAAACACAAACCAAACTCTTGAAATATATCTGCAGCAACTATTTCTGAATTATTTCACATGAATTGTTTCCGGTAACCCGACCGACTCTATCCTCTTCCCCCCATTAAATCTTAAATAATTTCAACTCATCATTTTCATCCAAATCGAGTATGATATTTTCATGTTTTTCAGTGTACGTAGGGCTAAAATGGATTGCATTGAATTGGCATAATGGGTCCTCACTGACCAAATCTGCAAATATAACATAAATAATGATTTGATATAGAAATCTTTCAATGTTTCATCATAAGGCATTATCACTACATGATATGGTACTCTTGAAGACCTCAGGTGCCCATCTGGTGACACTAAGAAATAAAAAAAAAGTAAAAGAAAAAGATAAAACCGACCCACCTACCCTATTTTTAAAAAGCATGTAATAGGAAACGGACATATATTTTGTTTTGGCCTTAGATAAACCATGCTTTCTAAAAGTATCTTTCCCATCCTACATATTTGAAAATGAATTTGTTTGTCACTGAAGAATAGAAGTATTTTAAGCACATAAAATTTACAAATATGTTGAACAGCTTATGTTCGTTGACATTCAGTCATCTCCTGAGACAAGTCTTATAACATGACCTGTTACCTTGGTAACATGCTCCTCTTCCTCATCTTGATCAGCCTCTTTCTCCTTGTCTTCCTCATCACTATGGTAATCTGCCAAAACCAGCTCTTCATCACCATGACAACCGTCATTCTCTACCTGTGATATCTCTGCATCGAATGCCTCCTTCAGCTCCTGGCTTGCATCTCGCATCAGCTCGGTAAACTCGTCGTCCAGCTTGTCACGCTTTCAAGGTCAAAAGTTAGTAGTAGGAATGAAAGAAGCACGTCCAAAGTGTTTCATACAGAACTGGTCTTAATTTTTAGCATAACTGGCTGATATTACTACTTGGAGGAAGGATATCTGTGCAAATGGGTAAATTTACAAGAAAAATCTTCGTTTTTCCATCAGCGACAAAAGACAACCAAATTTTAGGTATTAACCAGATCCAGGTTGGAAAAAAATGGTCTTCAGTAAGCCATGCTTGTCGAAAGATGTGACTAGAGCAATCAGGTGATCAAGTTCACTGACTGAACAAAAAACAACAAACAAAACAATCAAAAGGTAGAAGCTAATTAACCTTTCCTACAAAATTTACAGAGAAAAAAATAGCAATCTCCCAGAAATTTAACCTTCCAGTGTATGTGGAAATGTCCTTTTTCAGCAATTAGTTTATTCAGGCAAGAGCTGAGAATGTCTTGATGGACAGCGTACCTTGCGTTTGCCAGCCAAATGAGGCAGGTTTGTACGCAGCTTCTTGAGACGAGCTTCTCTCTTCTGGGCCTGCTCCTGCTCAATCTGAAGTCAGAAGTAACTACTAATATTCACTTACAGTTCTCCTCGGAGTAGCCTAGTGGTTAAAGCCTTGGCTCGTAAAGCTGAAGGCACAAAGTTCAGTTTCCCACATGGGTACAATGTGTGCAGCCCATTTCTGGTGTCCCCTATAGCTGGAATATTGTTAAAAGAGGGCAAAAACCCTCACTCACTCTCCAAGGATCACCTCTTCAGTGGTATATAAGATGTAAATAATCTTCATAACATCTCAGCCATTTGAGAATTCTGGGTTGGAAGCAACTTACGCTGGATATTATAAGCGGTGACTTAATGGATTGGGTAGTTACGCTCAGTAACAATGGATTATTGTTCATAATATCCATCACTAGATGGTCCAGAATTGATTAAGCAATGGCTGACGCCATAAAGCTGGAAATAGCTGAGTGCGGAATCAAGCGACAAATAAACAAACAAAAACACTACAGTTTTTACCTTGACTTGTTTCAGGGATTCTTCCTTATCCTTCTTGGCAGCGAACTCTGCCACCCAGTCAAGTTCTAGATAACATACAGACGTCACTTACATCAGAGTTTCGAGTGACTGGGGTGTGATGGGAATATGATGAATAAATTAATGAAGTAACCCATTAGATTCAGTGGAAATGCTGAAGACACCTCACTACACAGTTCAAGGTGATTAATGAAGGTCAAAGGTCAAAATAAGGTGATTTCAAGATGACAGGTGAGCTACAATCCCCATGTTAAGTAGATGGTCAGGTGGATTTACCTGGTGCTGCTGTGGATGCAGATTTCTCTTGTGTAGTGCTGGAAAGGAAGAACATTAAACAAGGGGTGAAATGATTCAGCAAACGAGGCACTAACTGCATTTGTCAGTAAGTAAATCCATTCATCGGTATCACTTAGATGAGGACCAACTTTATGGCTGAACAACTTCTTTCTTCAGGTGATGCAATGTTTCGATACAGATCCTTGTATCATTGTCAAGCAAGTGTGACAACGATACAAGAATCTGTATCGAAATGTTGCATCACCTAAATAAAGAAGTTGTTCGGCCAAAAAGTTAGTCCTTATCAGGAGAAGCATTTACATAGGCTGATGCAGCCTGTTTGCTGATCCTTTTTCCTTTGTAATTTATTAATGTTTAATGCATATTACACGTCTTTTGGGAAATAAAATACTGTTTAAATCAGCTGGACTTCATCTGACTCTCCAACTTCTAAAAATGCCACTCAAAGAAGGTATCATTTAGATAAATGTAACAGAAATAGAGGATATTATATGAGTGCCCATGTCATACGACACACATACACATGTTTACGACACGTGTTCCTAAATGTTGGTATTACCTGAGCGAGAGCGAGGGATATATTGATATTTAGGCACGAGTGTCGTAAACATAGTATGATATGGGCACGAATATAATATTCTCTTTATCACTGAAGTCGTCAAATTGGGGAAAATAAACCCAAATCTACTTTCAAACATAGGCTGGCTACCCGCTGTCGCTGCATATAGAACGCAACGTCACAGAAGAAATGTGACGTCATAGCATTGTTCATGATGTCACGTCACCTTGACAAAGTGATATTTTGCCCTAGGGCATCGTGTATGAAAAATATGAACCCCGATATTTTCGCCCTCGTAGGTAATAAATAATCATTATCCCTGTCCTCAGCAACCTCATGCTTCCTTCCAGGGACACCCAGTCACATATTTCCTTTCCCTCCTCGTCACAAAATAACAACAACCTATGTAGTGCCCCTAATTACAGAAACTGTCCTGATGCCACTAACAACATCCTTTCACGCAGTACATAGTCTTCACAGTATCAGTGACGCCGTATATGCCATCCCCAACCACACCTCACCCTCCCTTCACACAGAATATCAGACATTATAAGTTGTTCACCGGTCTCGAGGGGACATGGGCTGATGTACCCTCAGTGTTTGTTTATGTTCCCTGAGCCCGAAATCCTCGAGGGTAAATCAACCCATGGGCCCCAAGGGACCGGTGAACAATGTATTTATCTTACTGAACACCTCAATGGTCATTTTGAACTGTTTGAAGCACGGGTATTGGATCATAGTATGGAGTACCGGACGACAGGAAGAACAAAGTTAGAGTTATCTCCCTTCCATCAATTTGCATTCGCAAAACATCATAATTTCCGTACATCATACGCGATTCAATGTCATTCGAGATAAAGAATGACTACTAGTCTACTACCAGTACCAAATGAGTTCGGCATTCCCAGCAGGGTACATAGAAAATGTTACTCACTTGTAAGCGGGGTACATTGAAAATAATAGAAGAGCGCTCAGCCAATCAGAAAAGGACATTTATGTGTGAGGCAAGATAATCAGTCCTGTACTCAAACAGTTACTGGAGGTGTATATCAACAACACCCTCCCACTCATCACGTTCATACACAGTACCTTGAGGTGGTGTCCTCTGCCATCAGTTTTTCAAGCTCCTCCTGCTGTTTCTGCTGATAATCTCGCAACCATTTCAGAGCCCCGCATATAACACTCAATGACTTGCCCTGCACAAGTAGTAAACTGTTGTAACCATGGTAACAGACAAGGTGAGGTGAAATTGGGTTTAACGTTGTGCTTGAGAATATTTCACTCATATGACGATGTGCATGCGTGTGTATGTGTATGTGAGGCTGCTTGTACTAGCCCAGACTGAAGCTGGTTTTATAGTGCTAGCCCACTGAGATACCATGCCGCAGTGAAGCATGAATACCCCACTCAGACACATTATACTGACTCCGAGCCGACCAATCCTTGTTGTACCCATTAATGCCGAACGCCAGGCAGGGACCGACAAGTTCCATATTTTGACGTCTGTTGGTATGATGCGGTCGGCGATCGAACCCGCGACCTTCCGCTCTCCGGGCGGACGCTCTAACCACTACACCATGGAGGCAGTCGGTAACAGACAAGGAACATCTGACAATATACATCTTCATTTTGCTGAACATGTTGAAAGTATGAATACACAATGCCATTTAGAAAGTGGTCAAATGTAACAAATGTAATATTTGGGATTACACTTTCTTAGTAAAGTACAGATTCTAGTACTTTGTTGGGTTGAGTCCCATCCGGGATTCAAACCCACACCCACAGAGTCAGGCACCTAATCGCCCGCACACAAAGTCAGTAGCCTAACCCGCTCAGCCACTTTGTTGAAAGTAACAGATGAATGTGAACCATCAGTGTGATTTGGACAAAAGTCCTTCAACATAATAAAGATATCTGACAATCAATTTAACATGTTTGGCATGCAAAAACTATAATACACTCTATTACTTATGTTTGACACATACATTGTAACCACCGGTGAACATATACTACCCATCAAAAGTTTAGACTCCCTTAAAGCACTCACTATATGTTATGTATATACATGTGGTTACGCCGAAGATGAATTTCACCACTAACTTGGGGGGAATTAACTGCAAGCCTTATGCAGATGAATTGCATGAGGATCATGCATCAAATTGCTGAAAAGCATGTGCAAATATCATGCATGTGAACAGCTGCGTTTTTGTGTAAAGTTTGTTAAGAATTCACCAATTTTCACCGAGTTTCATCATTTATTGAACTCATGTCAATAATCTTTTCAAAGTTGCGAATTTGTTTTACAACAAATCAGTGCATGTGTAAACAGTACCCTTAAACTGTATAGAATATTTTTCAAAATCTAGTTTAGATCAGTTGACTGAAGTAAGTAGCTACATTTACACTAGTGAGTCTAAACTTTTGATGGGTAGTATATTTAGGATGACATGTTTACGGAAATTCAATTAGTACTGTGATCGGGTAATTGTTAGTTCTTTTAGACTGATGAGTCTATAGTTCTTTATACAACAACAACACATACACATTCCTAATGATAGCAAATATTTCAAACAAGTTTTACTTACAGTACCAGTAGGACTTTCAAATATTCCAACTTTGCCAAGTTCAAGACACCGATACAGCTCCTGCATGAAGCCTTTCTGTATGTCATACGGCTCAAAGGGAAATGGAAAAGATTCAGGGACTGAACAATTCTTCTCTGAAATATAGAAGAAAACATGTACACAACATATCAGGAAGTATTTAGAATTCCCAAATAATTGCATTTGGAAGGTAACTTGAAAAAAAATGGTATTTTGCTCATAAGGCCAGACCAATCTTATTTCTTGTTTTACGGATCTGCCTGTCATATTTTTTCAAGAATAAGAAAGAAAAAAATATTAATTTTCCCCACTCAAAGAATAAAATCCTAATGTTTTTATTGGCCAAATATGTAAACTAAAAAAGCTTTTTCAGATTGTTTTTTGCTCCATATACACTTCATAAATTGCCAAAAGTAAAATACTTTGAGTATTTAGAAGGAATATTACTTTGACTGGTGATTTTATTTTCATTTTTTCCCTCCTGCCTTTAGGTTTTCTGAGGACAAAAATCCGTAAAACAAGAAATAAAATTGGTCTGGCCTAAGTGACTTTTAAAATATTATTCTTGTTATTCTTTACCAAATAATTGGGGAAAGACTTCTGCCCGTATCTCCCTTAAATTTCATTCTAGAGAAATCATATCACCTGAACATATATTCCTCATCTGATAAGGATGAATTTTAACATGTTTCTTTAATTGTATCTGAACATACCGAAAGACATATCCAACTTCTAAAAATGCCACTCAAAGACAGTTTAGGGGGGATACGGGCGGAAGTCTTACCCCTGTGCCATACCTTGCCTAGTGAACTGATATTATTGAAGAACACTGAAAGACCTATGATAACGTGTGCACCATCTACTGCAGTACACTTTTCCGTACAGTTATTGAACAGTTTCTTACCATCAGTTGTTGTGACGTTCGTATTACCGCAGTTCTGTCCATCAAGCCCCAACTCGTAGCCTGACAACAGTTCATCTCCTTCGTCGTCGAACTCATCCATGTTCCAGGGTAAAATGAGTCAACACAGTAGACCTGTCAGCTGATAATCACAGATGTCAGATATTTGTCCAGTTGGACACAGGCAGAGACCATAGATTTCTATACTTGCTTGCACTGTCAACAAGAGAATTTGAGTTGCGAATGTTTTATTATCAATTTCAGTTCTTTATGTGTTTCTCTGACAGTTTTTCATTAAATGCTTTCAACTGCTCTCAGCGTGAAATCTGTCCGAACCATCTCGTAAACTTCTTGTTCATACTTCGCGCCATTTCACGACTGATTTCGATTGTCGTATTTCACATAATCTGCGGCAGACGAACAAGAATGTGATGAAGTATGTGTGTCTTTATTGCCATAGCGGTGGGTCCAAAGGAAGCCTGAGATTGTACAGACAGTTTATCAAAACGGAGAGCTTATGCGCTTGAGTTTACATTATTGTCGTAAATGCAAAACGGTGACAATTTTCGGTTGAAAGGCAATGTACTTCCGGGATTGAATCGCGGTATTTACAAATTTGTGTTGACAACTTCTCCGATCACTGACTGCAAATGCCTTACTGTAATCATCTGTTTAGAGGATAAATCATGGAACTAAATCGTTATTTGAGTTTGCATCATTCAGTCAGCGGATCACTGCAGCTGAGGAAATGAAATGTCGGACATGGAAGTTGAAGAAACCTGAGGGGCTCTACAAGATGGGGAGGGTCGCATCCTGGTTCAGGCGACTGTCACATCTATCAGTGATGACCACGTACTCTACCCCTGCTGTGTCCAGTGCTACAGTAAGATGCTGCAGGACATTCACTACAAGAGCAACCGGTAATGCACACTCAAACGGTCGATTGGTACTAGGGCAAAAATAAAAGAGTATGAAATTTGTGTGTCCTGTTTATGCCCTCCACAAAAGCGGAAAGATATGTAGTTTGAAGTCGTTTTGTGGTTTGAACAAAAAGGCAGTAACAACTATGGCTCAACTCAGGCTTAAGATTAGGAATGGTCCGGAAATAAGTTATATTTCGTCATTAGTATCAGTACCCATGATGACTGTAAGTGCAATGTTACCATTTAATCAAAGACGTTAATAGTCAAGATACTTTTGTCATAACCATGAGACGTGGTCAAGTAGGTACTGTTAGTGTTACAATTTGACCAGTTTATTTGTGAACCTATTCTCATTGTGTTGTCTTCACTATAACTCTGCTAAGCCCTAAATATAAGAAAAATATGAAGTGGTTCTGAATAGATATGCTAAATCATGTTAATTTTAGTTGCCAATTTGATTTCACTGAGCATGCTGATTGTGAAGACACAAATACCACACACAAATATGAATCAGATATACCAAACACTATGTAACAGCCATCATTCCTCAAATTGTTGCATGGTTTTATCCTTCAATAATAAAAGGATTTATTAATTGATCTGTTCTCAAACATGTTAATTTGTCAAATATGTTAATGGAAATCTTTTCACACGTGTGAAATGTGAACCATTTTATTTAGTAATGACTAAGATAACCATCATTACAGATTTGCTTTGTTGATATGTTTGCAACATATGACTTATGTTTTTAGAAACATATTGATGTACTCAGTCCCTCATTTTCTCTGACTAGATGGCGCTGTTTGAAATGTGGTGAATCTTGCTGTTTTGATGACCTGGAATGGCGTTACCGCATCCGTATGACAATAGCTGACACAAACGAGTACAGGCAGGTGGCAGTCTTTGGTCGGACACTGCAGCCATTCTTTGGCACAAGCGCCAACACATTTCACAAGTAAGCGATTAACAATGCTTGTCATTTTTAGAAGGTGTGGTTGGGATTTTTTGCTTGTTATTTAATTCCTTAATATATGGGGTCAGTTCCATATTATCAGTATTTAATCTTCTTAGGTTGACTGCATGTGTTTTGATATTGCAGTGGAAATTTTTGTTTGTATTATATGTATTGTATATGATACCCTCATCCATAAACAAATGATATCTGTGATATCATGATAAAGTTTCTGATTCTCAATATTATAATGGGGGCGGTGGGGTAGCCTAGTGGTTAAAGCATCCGCTCCTCACACTGAAGACCCGGGTTCGATTCCCCACATGGGTACAATGTGTGAAGCCCATTTCTGGTGTCCCCCGCCGTGATATGGCGGGAATATTGCTAAAAGCGGCGTAAAACCATACTCACTCACTCACTCAATATTATAATGAACTGTTATTGTTTCTTGAGAAATCCTTGGTTAAAAGAGGTTTGTAAAGTTATTGTCAAAAGTTGAAACAGACAGTGGTTAGTGGTACTAACAAGATGTTTATGAACACTTTCAGGTTCTTGTCTTACCTCCAGAGCACCAAATGCGAGGTAGCTGATGCAACTCTGAAACAAGCCGTCTACCAAGTGTTTGTAGGGCAGCCCTTCCTGTTCGGGTTTGCATCAGCCAATCAACCCAAGTCGGATATATCAGTCTCCAGTTTGTCCCATGTTGCTGGTGGAAAGGGAAGTAACTCTGACCTTATTGCTGTCCAGATGCTATCGACCAGTCTGAGCCAGATGGGTACTGTTTCTCAACAGATGAGTCAACTTCTGAACAGACGCACTGAAGACTCATTCTGTCCGCCTCCATCAGAGATGACAAAATATATTAATGGAAGTCCAGTGTCTGTCGTCAGAAAAAGGCGATCTCATGAAACCAGGCAAAGTCTGTTGAATTCGGTCTTGGACGTTTCAGATAACAGTAACATTAACAGCCTCCTCTCAGTTCTGCTCAGCTGCGAAAACTCCTTGTCTAACAATGTTTCAGTGTCATCAGCTTTGTTGAACAGTGTTGACATGACAGAGGATAGAGCTATGCTGAAAGAGGGAAATACGATTGGACATGTTAAGATATCCTGTGGAGATGATGTCATTACTGATCCTACAACTAGCATCACATTAGTCCAGCCAGGGAAAGACTATGATGCAGATAATACAATGGATCTGCAACCTAGAGTCTCACAGATAACATCTCAGGATGACATTAATTCTGATTCTGCTATGGACAATACTTTCGGTAAATATTACAAAGATCCTGATGAGACAGTGGATGAGCAACCTGGAGTTTCAGCAAAAATATCGTGTAAGGAAGACATTGATTCTGCTATGGACAATACTTTGGGTGAATATTACACAGATCCTGGTGAGACAGTGAATGAGCAATATAGAGTCTCAGCGAAAATATTGCATAAGGATGACATTGATTCTGATTCTGCTTTGGACAGTACACTGGGTAAATATTACATAGGTCCTGATGAGACAATGAATGACAGCAGTCTCCTGCTTGCTCTCAATGAACCATCTTCATGCAATTCCCCTAAACAGGTTCCTGTTGATGTCAAATCTGTGACTACAGAAACAAAACAGTCTAGGGTGGGTAGTGTTGGTGGAACAGTGTTTAACTATAGACAGGATGGCTCAGCAGTGGGTGAAGATTGCCAAGCACCTGCTGATGAGTGGGAAGAAATGCCATACTCTGAAGACCTGGACGAGTTTCTTCAGAAGGCAGGGACAGAGGAACATGGACACGGTGTGTTACAGAATCCTGTCGGTCATCACAATAGTCTGCTTGGACATTCAGACCATACTTTAAATGCTAAAGTGAGTTTCAGACATCATGAGATGCTGGAACCTGCTGTATATGGTGTCAGGACGTTTGATGAAATTGTTTGTGATAGTGAAGAAATTCCTTGTTTTGAGGATCCCAGATCTCAAGTCAAGCACATGCTGGAGAGGGAAAGAGATGGATGTGACCAAAACTGTGGAAGCGTGATGCAGAGAGACACAGTGAAGGTTACTCATCAGTGTGGAATTGATCGAATTAATGAAAGAAGTAAACATGTGATTTCTACCATTGATAAAGATATGTCGGTATATAAAGATGGGTTTCTTGGATCTAAAGGCATGGTTCAGAAAACTCATTTGGCAGCTGGGGAGTATATGCAGTCTTGTAATGATGTATCGGTGCCTGTTAATGAAAGAATGGTAACAGATGGCACTATGGACAGAGTCTGCTGGGAAGATATGCCAGAGTCAGAGGACCTGGAACAGTTTCTGTTGGAGGCAGGAAGGTCATATGTCCCTGTCTCAGACCAACACACAACGACAAACACCATACCAGACAATCTTCATAGGTCACATACTATAGCAGACGCGTATTGTAGGTCAAATACAATAGCAGAAAGTCACTGTAGATCACAGACAAGAGCAGATGGTCATTGTCAGTTACAGACCATAGGGGTTTCAAGTCGATATGCAGATCCCACAGAGCCAAGTGTCACCTTGGAAACATTCCCAGAAGACTCCTTTTCTGATAATGACTCTGTTTTCTGCAGGAGTATAGTATTACCTGTGAATGAGAGAACAGTTAACAATGGTGATGTGAGTAGCAAGGGTATAACCTCATTCAGAACCAGCCATCATAGTTCAGATAGGTATGTGTTAGGACCTTCCACTTCAGGGACTTTGCAACATCAAGGACACAATTCCAAACACACAGGAGGGATAAGCATGCCTCTTTCTTGCAATTTGAGATCTCAACATTCAAATAGTAAAAGTATGAATGAACAGTCAAGCATTGTGACAATGGTAAAGGAAAAGACATCACGTTTAGGGACATGTTCAAATTTGTCCAAAGATCATCATCCAGAAAATGATTCCTCTTTGAATGGATCCACAGAACTGTTTGACAGCAGTGGTGCGGATCTGTTTGAATGTTTGAGTAATGAAGAGGAAAAGTGTTTGATGGAAGAAGATCCAGAAGCTGATTTACTGGATAAGTCTGCAGTGTGTGATTCAGTGGTGGAGATGCAGGATGGCCTTGGTCAGAACACTTCGTCTGAAGGTATGGTTTCAGCTGTGAAGGATGTGTCTGCTGTGTGGGAGTCAATGATGGAGATGAAGCAAGGTGCTCTTCTTCAGGACAACTCATGTCTAGCTTCACCAGGATTCCAGAAACAGGTTAAATTTGCTAAACGTTTAAGCCACATCAGTTCCATTCAGCTGATTGATATTCGTATGAAACTGAACTTTGGGCTTCCAATGGACAGCCAGTTGACTCCAGTGAGATCCTGTTTGAGGAGTGTCCAAACACCAGAGGTAACCAAATATGAAAGTAAGGGCTTGGAAGAGAAAAACTTCTCAGAAAAAGAAAAAAGGTCACCTCTCAAGATCATCTCGTCTATGAAGTCTTGCCAGAAACATCAAACACTGTCACATGGTGTAACATTAGCGTCTGCACAAAATGATGCAAATACTGATTTAGGGCCTGTACACAGGGAAAGTGATAATGACAACATGGATGATTATGGGTTTCAGCAGTCACAAGATCTGTTTGCTAACAGTCAGCCAACAGATCATGTTAGCTGGGGTAGCTGCTTCTCCGAGTCTGACACATCTCCTGCAGCAGGTGGTGGATGTGAACCTTCAGATGAAGGAGGATGCTTTGACTTTCACCCACCACGAACAAGGATGCTTTGACTTTCACCCACCACGAAGCACGAACCCAGTCAGACAATCTCAGTTATTCCATCCTGATAAAGATGTCCATGATGATGGGGAATCAGAAAAATCTCATCTGGATGTGTCAGTTTGTGATGTTAGAGGCAGAAGTGTGTTTCCAGTGACCAATATCGGTTCCATTATGGGGAAATACGGTAAAAATAATGCTAAGAAAATATCCAACTGTGATAATGAGACTGACATGCACCTGTTCCATGGGGTCAGTAAGTCCTGCAGTAACAATGTGAAGGATGAGGGCAGCAGTCAGATGCTCTACGATGGGTCTCCACTACTGTTCTCCCAGGCAGACCCCACACCCGGTCGGGTCTCCAGCACCCCCATCAAGTTCTGTAGCACTGAGGATTCTGGGCAAGGACTTACACCAGACCTGTTCAGTCCTTGAAACAACCCATGACAAGCTTCCTGTATGAGTTAGTCTCCAGCAACCTCTCACAACAGGATGATCAGGATCAGCTACTTTGTTGAATGTGCTCATAATATCAGTCACTGGTTTAGTTGGTCCAGACTTGATTATTTACACTATGGTATGGTATGGCATGGCATAGCATGAGCATTGTCCAGAATGATGTTCTATATGGTATTTTCATCAAGATGTATCTTTAGGATTATCATACGTTTGCCGAATCCAAGGATCCAAAACAACTAGGTAATATTTCCAGGTATGCGTCTTCACTATGGAAAAGTATGATACAAAACCCAGCACATCTATGGTATGTTCATAAACACAGTTGAATGTGTTTTGAACATCTAATAATGGTGACTATTACAGATTATTATTGAGTTTATGCAATGCATACTTTTAATAGATCCACTTCAATGAAATCGGGAACAGTGATCGAATCTGTGATATGAATGTTTTATTGCTCACAAATATATGGATTTGTAAATATGCCTATGAGATATTGTTATGAGTTTATATTTTCGTCAGTGATATTAAACACATCAAACCATAGGTCATGCTTATGTTTTTCCTGCAGATCAAGGTGCCATTGTACTAAATAAGAAATAAGCTGAGCACTAGGACTCTGTATGTCTATATTAAGTTATGTGACTGTGCAAGACCGTCTCAATGGTTTAGTGGAAAGGGCATCTGCTCAGACAGGTGAATATCGATGGATTAATACCCAGTTGCGGCATACCAGTCAGAGACGTAACGTGTACGCGAGGCGGTCTATCGTCTCTTGCACGCAAGACGGGTGTGCTCCGCGGTACTAACTGAAGCGCTTGACCCTAATTAATTCAATCACCATGGAACCAACTCGATTGGGTGCGAACACGTCGCGGGGTGATTAAAGCGTCCCCTAAAATCCCCTAGCGTGGTGGTTACTTGACAGTTGTGAAAATACAGGTTTCTCGGTGGGACTTGTTGCCCTGTCCGGCACTCGACACTAAGGTGGGAAAAACAGGGACTGTGACAGCTGAAGGGTGTTGGATTAGTCCCGGATTTGGACCATATGTTAAAAGATGGTACTTGATGTTGCCCTGCCTGACACTCGACACTATGGGGAGACAACCAGGACTGGGACAACTGAAGTTTGTTGAATTAATCCCTGGTTGGGGCATACATTAAAAGATGGTACTTGATGTTGCCCTGCCTGACACTCGACACTACACTATAGGAGACAACCAGGACTGGGACAAATGAAGTTCGTTGAATTAATCCCTGGTTGGGGCATACATTAAAAGATGGTACTTCATGTTGCCCTGCCTGGCAATGGACACTAAGGGGAGACAACCAGGACTGGAACAACTGAAGGTCGTTGGATTAATCCCTGGTTGGGGCATAAGTTAAAAGATGGTACTTGATGTTCCCCTGCCTGGCACTTGACACTAAGGGGAGATAACAAGGACTGTGAGTAAGTAGGCTGTGCCTGGGTGGGATGTCAGTGTCCAGGGTTGTAACTAGACATTAATCCATTTGTAGACAAACTATGAAACGAATCAAAGATGGCTCGATTCGCCCTAGGTGTTTAGGGGTTCACCCACCCATAAATTTGTCAAATATGAAATGTCTGAAAATCGATTTCCTGTGATTTTGAAAGTGATTGGATAAACTTTTGGTTCCCAAAGATACTGTCTATACTGTGTGGAATTTGGTAATTATATACATTGAAGTATATATTTTACGTTTGACATCTTATATACTGAACGTTATTGAAAACGCACCACCTGTATTAGTTTGGATTTCCAAGAGCATAAATGAGCAATCTGTGTAAATGTTACATACTTTTGTAGTCCAATGATTGGTAAAGAAAAGAAACAAGAACCAATCCAGCAAAACAGTGAAGTTTTAATTCAGCTGACCATGAAAGAAAGATGGAGTCAAATTGGAAAGTCAGTAACGTGTATGACCACCGTTAGCAGCAACACAAGCTGTGCAACGTCTCCTCATTGAACTGATAAGTCTCTGAATAATGTTTTGAGGCAATGCATTCCACTCTTGTTGCAAGGCATCCTCAAGTTCCCCAAGGTTGTTGATCTGTGGGCGACGTGAGAGGCGTTGGCCGATGTAATCCCACAAGTGTTCAATGGGAGACAAATCTGGTGACAATGCAGGCCATGGAAGTAGAGGAATGTTGTTGTTTGCCAGAAACTGGGTTGCAACACGTGCAGTGTACGCTCGAGCATTGTCCTGCTGGAATGATCTTGGTTAAAGAAGGGAACGGCGTTGTTCTGAAGAATGGTGTCACGGTAGTAAAGGGCATTCACTCTGCCACGACAAACTACCAGAGCGGTTTTGTGATGATAACTGATCCCTCCCCACACTATAATGCTGCCTCCACCCCACCGATCTGTTTGCACAACACAGTCCTGATGGTAACGTTCTCCCCGTCGACGCCATACCCGTAGACGCCCGTCAGCATTTCGCAAGTGAAAACGTGACTCGTCGGAGAACACAACACCATGCCAACGTCGTAACAACCACAAACGATGCTGTTCAGCCCATCGTCGGCGTTCACGGCGATGTCTATCATTCAGGATGGGTCCAACAAAAGGGCGTCGACACCGTAATCCTGCCGCACGGAGACGGCGTCGGACAGTTGAAGCACTGATCAAACCACGTCGGCCTTGGACAGCGTTGGCGGTTCTGGCAGCCGGCAACGTACGATCCTGAATATGGCGCCGAACAATGTCTCGATCTTGGCGAGGGGCCTGGCCAGGACGTTGGCGGTCCCTGGTGGTTCCTGTTTGTTGGTACCTGTTGGCAAGTCTTATGATGGTGGAATAATGGCAACCAAATAGTCTGGCAATAATCCTGCTTGATGTGCCAACCTGCAACATGCCCAACGCCCGTTCTCGTTCCTCTGGTGACAATCTTGGCATTGCAAAATTAACTTTACTTGCGGAGGTACAGCTAAAATGAGAACGGTTTTTTGCCGACGGTCATTTATACCCCTAGTCAGCATGTTTTACGCATGCAATTTGTGCTTTTCGTGTGTGTTGTGCATGACTTTTATTGTTGTCATGTGATGTGTTCCATGACGTGTTCGGGCAATCCGTTCTTTCCTGTACAGCATTTTTTATTGTCTTCTGTGTTATTAACATTTCCAACGTTCATTTTCACTATCAAAACAATCCTATTACCATATTTCAAAATTTACAGGTGGTGCGTTTTCAATGATGTTCAGTATATTATGATTTCGATACAGATTTTTGTACCGATGTTAAGCAGAAATGTAAAGGGTTACAAAGATAATACTTTAGTAAATTACAAACAACAAAAAAATCACAGGTTGACTGGTGGATATTGTCGAAACATCGCAACAGAACCACAAGAAGTTGACACCCGAGAATATCCAAGCTGGAATTGGTCTCCTGCAACCCATGCTTGTCGTAAGAGACGACTAACGGGATCGGGTGGTCGGGCTCGCTGACTTGGTTAACACATGTCATCGTATCCCAGTTGCGTAGATCGGTGCTAATGCTGTTGAACACTGGTTTTTCCAGTCCATACACGATAATGTACATACTATCGCTCCGCCATAAAGCTGTAGTATTGATCCCTCAGACGCCATACAGCAAGCATCCACAGGAGATTTATGGTCCGCTTCAGTAACCATTCCAATGTTTGATACACTGACTGAGTTAGGTTTTACGCCGCTCTTAGCAATATTCCAGCAATATCACGGCGGGGGACACCAGATATGGGCTTCACATATTGTACCCATGTAGGGAATCGAACCCGGGTCTTCGGCGTGACGAGCGAACGCTTTAACCACTAGGCTACCCCCACCGCCCCCCAACTCCAGGATGGTGTTCAATACAGATTTGTGTATCCGCTATTGTGACTATTATTATTTCCAGCTTAGTAAAATGGGTGAGTTACCGCTACAAATTCTGAGCAGGGATTTTGGATCGGAATCGAGAAATCACAATTTTTCAAGCTTCCGAAGACCCCAGCTCCCAAAGTACTGCTTCGATTTTTGTGCTGTATGTCTTATTTTGTATGTAAATCTATTGGCTTCATATTTGTGCATGCTTTAAATGGGATAAGTACAGTGAGCATTGTTGAATTCGCCTTGAAACGAACTTTGTGTGTTGACCTCGTTACACCCCTTTCCTTTTATATAGTACTAAGACCCCGTCAGTGACAGTACATACCTTGATGGCAGTTTGTAGCGTTACAAGCCTCTGTGATTTCCAGTGTACTTTTGGTAGAAGTGATGGCCAACTTTACCTGTTTTACATTCAGTGCTCATGTATCGACGACAATATACTTTTATTTAGAATATTTTATCTATTACATATTTCATGCTGTTGATCCCTAGATTGTGTGGTCCAGACCCGATTATTTACAGACCGCCGCCATATAGCTGGAACATTGCTGAGTGCGGCGTAAAACTAAACTCACTCACTCACTATTACATATGTCATCTTCAAATGAAGAGTCAAACTGACTGAAACACGATTAATAGCGCCATTAGGTCAAGATATAGAGGTGTTCTTGCTTGGATATT